TTTTCTCTCATATCAAATAACCTACTTATTGTATCCCAAAGGGAAGGGCTGCCCACCCAGCAAATTTACCTTCCTTTTATAGACACTGGGAAATTGTCCTTCATGGAAGAGCAGGGATAATAGTTGTTTTCTAATGCTGCTTAAGAAAACAAAATTTTTCTTCATCCTTTGGCTATTAACTATTATTGTTGTATTTTAGAGACGATCTCACTATGTAGACCAGGCTGGCCTGAAACTCACTCTGTAGACCAGGCTGGCCTTGAACTCACTCTGTAGACCAGGCTGGCCTTGAACATATATAGAGAGCCATTGTACTGTAGTGCATAGCGGTAACTAATATCTTTTAATAATGTCAGTATCTATTTTATAGACTCCTCCTGGTCTCTTAAATTTTTTTTTCTATTTGAAGGTTTTCTGGGGTATTCATTTATTTTGTTTTCTGTCTAGCGCTCTTTTGTTTATTTATTCTGAAAAGACTTATTTTATGTATATGGCTGTTTTGCTGCTATGTATGTATGTACATAAGCCATGTGTGCCTGGTGCCCTCGGAGGCCAGAAGAGCAACTGGAGTCACAGAAGATTGTGAGCCATCATGTGGGTCCTGGGAACCCAAGAGCAGCCAGTGCTCTTAACCATTGCACCATCTCTCTATTTTATTTAGGTGTGGGTGTGTGCCTGTGGGGGTATATGTGTACATGTGTGAGCCAGTACCTGCAGGAGCCTGGGCAGAGCTTCGGAGCCCTTGGAATTACAGACTTTGAGGAGCTGCTTGATGTGAGTGCTGGGATCCAAACTGAGATCCTCATGATCCAGCAGCAAACACTCTTTTACCAAGCCATCTCTCCAGCTACTTATTTATTTGAGACAGTGTCTTGCTAAGGAGTCTTGGCTGGTCTGATACTCCCTATGTAGCCCAGACTGGACTCACAGTAATCCCCCTGCCTTAGCCTCCTAGGTGTTGTGATGACAGGGATGTGCCATCACGGCCAGCTTCTGGTGGCTTTTTGATACGTGTAAGTTGTTGTGGTTATGTCTCAAAGTGGCCCCTACCACTCTGCCCACCTGCAACCCCCCCTCCTCATGAGCTCCCCCCTCCCGCCCCCCCAGTCTGGCACTGGTTCCACCAGTTTGACAACCTTTGGCTGTGAGCAAGCCTGGGGCTTGAACTCGCCAAGTGTTCAGTGGCCTCCACCTTTGCTAAGGTGGATATGGTTTGAGTGATTCAAGTACTTAAGCATGGGGATGATATTAAGAAGGGGTGGGTCCTGGTGAGGGCTGTTTAGATCACTGCCAGTACTGAACTCTGAAGGAGTTAAGGTAGATCTCATGGGACCCTAATGAAGTTCTCAAGAGAATAAGTTGTGGGCTGGAGAGACATGTCAGGCATGATGAGCACTTACTGCTGTTTCAGGGGACCTGACTTCAGTTCCCAGCACCCATATTAGGTAACACACATGTCTGTTTAAGTCCATTACCAAGGAGTTTGATGCTCTCTGCTGGCCCCCACAGGCTTCCACACACACAGCACAGGAAAATTTAAAAAAGAAAGATGAAGCTGGGCGGTGGTGGCACACACCTTTAATCCCAGCACTCAGGAGGCAGAGACAGGCATATCTCTGTGAGTTCGAGGACAGCCTGGTCTACAAGATAGTTCCAGGACAGGCTCCAAAGCTTCACAGAGAAACTCTATCTTGAAAACAGAAGAAGAGGGAGGAGGAGGAGTAGGAGGAGGACATTGAGGGCTGGAAAGATGGCTCAGCAGATAAAGATGCTTAATGCTTACCTGGCAAGCCTGGTGACCTGAGTTCCACCCCAGAGCCCCGTGTCAAAACAGAAGAAGAAACAATAAAGTTGTTCTCTGTCCTCCAGATATGCACAATGATATGTGCAACCTCACCCCCCACCGATATCACACACACACGTCATATACACATCACACACACATAACGCAAATGTGGCTCCACGGAGGAGGAGATGCAGCAGTCACATGAGGTATCTCTGTGCAGGCTGCAAAAGGCAGAGCCTGGAACCTGGCTTCTCTGGGTACCCTGACAGTCCCTCTAGAGCAGCTTCTCAACCTTCCTAATGCTGCAACCCTGGTGCTGTGCTGACCCCAATCATACAATTATTTTCATTGCTACTTCATAGCTGTAATCTTGCTACTGTTATTAGTCATAATTCGTGGAAAAGGGAATATTTATGTTTCCTGATGGTGTTTGGTCCCTGTAAAAGGGTCATTTGACTCAAAGCGGTTGTGACCCACTGGTTGAGAACCCCTGCTTTGGCGACCGAAACCAGTCCTAGCAGCTTTATTTCTTGGACTTGGTCGGGTTTATGCATGTGGCGGGAGGGGCGGGAAGATGCTGGGGGGGAGGGGGAGACCAGCAGGTGGCTTCTGAGTAACAGCCAGCCCTTCCACAAGGGCCCAGAGAACTCCTGCCTGGCTTAAGTCTATACTTAGATCCTTCCTAAAGAAACCGAGCTCCAAATGTACAGAGATAGAGGATGGACCGGCAAGACTCCAGGGAGAAGTTTCAGGGTAAAAAGAAAGCACGGGCCAGTGAGATGACCCAGTAGTGGCCAAAAGCAACTTGGTTAAGCAAAGAGTTTGTCTCACCTTATGCTTGCAGGGGCTCAAGGCGGGAACCTGGGGGAGCAAAAAGCGCTGCTTACTAGCTCATTCCCTATGGTTTGCTCTGCTTGCTTTTCATTCAACCCAGGACCACCTGCCCACAATAGGCAGAGGCTGGAGTGGGGCGGGCGGGGGCGGGCGGGGGCGGGGGCGGGGGCGGGAGCAGGCCCTCCTCCCTCCCACATCAATCACTAGGTGCTTGCCTGGCATGCACCTAGTGATTGAGAAAATTCCTCAATGTTGTCCTCTGATTCCACCTAGTTACTATGGTGTGTCTGCATGAACACACACACATTCACACACACACACACACTCACATACACACTCACACACACTCATACATACTCACACACACAAAATAAATAAAGAAAAAGAACTTGCCCTTTTGTCAAATTTTCTTCCAAAACTAACCTTACCAGAGAAGCTACCAGCAAAATAAACTCGTCTTGGCACAGGGCACACTGTCTGTTATTGCTTTGGCTTTGAAATGGGGGCTTTCATTTAGCCCAAGCTAGCTATATACCCAAGGTTGACCTTGAATGCCCGACTTCCTGCCTCTACTTTTCCAGTACCTGAAGTACAGGTGTCTGTCAACACACCGGGTATCTTAGTTTCATTCCTGTTGCTCTGAGAAAATACTCTGTGAGAGACCTGGAGAGATGGTTCATCAGTTAAGAAAGCTTGTTCTTACAGAGGATCTGGGTTCAATTCCCAGCACCCACATGGCAGCTCACAACTGCCTATAATTTCAGTTCAAGGGGAATTGATGTCCTCCTCTGACCTCCTCTGAGACCAGGTACACACACTTTACACATATACACATATATGCAGGCCGAGCTCTCATATATGTAAAATAAATAAACCTTTGAAAAACATTTAAAATATTCAACAAAAAGTGTGATGGAGGGTAAAGGGGATTTATCTCATCCCACAGTTGCAGGCTACAACCCATCACAGCTGGGAAGTCACAGTGGCAAGAGGTTGAAGTGGCTAGTCACATTCGTGGTCAAGAGAAAATTAACGTATGCATGTTTAGTGCTTAGCTGGCTTTCTCTACCCTTCTATAGTCCAGGGGTGCAAACCCGGAATGGTGTTTCCACACAGATGAAGGCAATCAAAATAATTCCCCACAGACATGCTCACAGGCCAGCTTGATCTAGATAATACCTCGTGGAAAACACTCTTGCTGCTGGGAGATTCTGGGTTGTCAAGTTGACAAGGAGAAGAAACCTTCACACCTCAGTTTGTGCAGTGGGGGAGGGGTGGGGGAGGGCGGGGGCGGGGGAGGATGGGGGAGTGTGGGGATAGAACCCAGCACTTCCAAAAGTCTGTAAAGTTGGTTTCTGTGTGTATTTGGTTCTTAGTGGATCATTTTTCCGAGTATTCATTGGGTTTGTTAGAAAGAATACCCTAATTGCTGCCTAATTACCTCCTGATAGTGCATGCCAGGCAAGCACTCTATCAACTGAGCCACATCCCCAGCCTGGGATACACACTTCCAGTCAGGATATGGTGGCGTGGTGGAGCCTCTAGAGACGGTGTCCAGTTCAGGCTCACCGCCTTTCCCTGGGACCTGCAGAGGTCCTGACAATGGGGAGAGCTTTCCACATGTTGCAAAGTCTAGTCCCAACAACACAAGGCTGAAGGAGGGAGTGTGGGCAGAGCAGAAACTAATGAAACAGACTCTGGCAATGCACCAGGCAGCCTGTGCCAAGACAGTCCAGGAAAACCACACCCAGGCCAGGATGAAGTAAGGCCGCAACTAGGGACTTTTTGCTAAAAACCAATAAACACTTGGAAAAAAATAACCTGCCAAGGCTGGAATATATACAGAGAATAGCCTTACAGAGAACATCCCACGTGTTGGCTTTTGAAATAAACAGTTGGGAACGTACAACTCATCAATAACTTCAGCTCTGTTCTGACTATTTAAGGCGGAGAAGAGAACTGAATGGAAGGAGGACGGGAAAGGAAGAAGCAGAACAGGGATGAAAGACGGCCCAGCCCTTCAGAGGGAAAGGCAAGAGGAGTAGGAGTTTGAGGCCAGCCTGGGCTACATAATAATTTCAGTTCAGCCCAGCCTGGCCTAATGAACTACACACAGTGAACCCCATCTCAAACTAGAATAAAACAGAATACAGTAACATAAAATAAATTAAGACAAGGGAAAATGAAAAACAAAGCAGCCCGATGAAGGCTGGGAAGACAGTGCCAAGGGTCCAGCTTACCCCCCCCACCCCCGCACCATTGGTCCATGTGAGGCTCCACCCACAGAACAGACAGAACAGCTTGGTTCTCTCTGTCCCTTAGGGCTATAGTTATTCTACTGGCATAGGGCCTGTCTCAGAAGATGACATTTCACAGATCATTGAAGAGTAAAAGTCAATTTTATTTAATACAACACTCCTCAGGGGCCCTTCAGCTGGGTGGCTGAGGCAGAAAGGGTAGATGATATTAGATATGAATGTTCCACAGCAACGTGGAGGCAGCTCCCATCCCCGACTCAAGCCACCCTTGGAAACAGCCTGGGACCTCAGGAGACCGTTTCTTTAGCAGGGAATAAATAAAGAAAAATTAGTGAGGAAAAGTACACATTTCCTTTTACTATTAAAAAAACAAAAACAAAACAAAACAAAACAAAAAACCAAAGAAACATTTGGTGTAGGCAACCATTTCTCTTTAGCCCTGCAGCAAGGGAGAGGAAAAGAAAGACCTGGAAAGCAGTTAAAGGACATCACCTGTGCTGGCTCGATCCACTCTAGTTTTGGCATTGCCTGCTTGAGGCTTGCCTTCAAGTAGCCACTCCACAGGAACTGCTCCCAGTCAGCTGCCCCGCCCCCCACCCCTGTGAGTGAAGCCACCATATAGGCGACCAGGTGACTGTCTGAGCAGCACTGGATACTTCCAAAGAGCAAGGCCAGCCCAGAAGGAAAGAGATGGACAGAAAGAAAACAAAACAGAAAATCTAACCCTGGATGGAGTCCAGACCATTCACTAAAAGTAACCGACTACAGGACAAGAACAGGCTTCTGTGTGGGAGGCATGTGAAAAAGCGAGTTTGTCTCTCTGAGAAGGGGTATTTGAACATCACAATATCCAGGGGTTTGTTCACCCCGAACCTCCTCTCACTCTTCCAAAATGCAAGGATGCTCGAGCTTGGAAGGACAGTCAGGCTGGCCATTAAACTGCGCCGCTGATTCTCTTTATACCCAACACTAATAAGGCAAGACATTTAAGAATGGATGGCTTGGCCTGGAGAATTGCTGCGTTCAGTGCAGGTGGGGCCGGTTCCTAAATAACTGCACAGGACTCTTGGAATACGGGAATCGGCTGCTCTTCTTGGGACGTGGGTGTCCTCCCAGGCACGTGCACCTGTCTTGGTTGTCTTAAGTTCCATCAAGGGAGCCGCCCGTTCTCTGTAAGACAGAAGACAGGACAAGTTAGGCCATGCCCTCAGAACTAGAGAGTACCTGGAGAAAAGAGGTATAACAGTATGTACAGTATATACAACAGTATATACAACATAAGAGAGCTGCGAAGGACTCGGGAGGCGGGTCCTTGGGTATGGTACTTGTCAAGCATGTTAGGCTCCACCACCAGCACCACATGTGGTACATGTCTGTAATCCCAGCATCCAGGAGGTGGAGACAGAAGGATGGCAAGTTCAAAGTCCAGTTCTAGGCTAGCCTGGGATATGTGAGCTCTTGACTCAAACAAACAAAAACACTGGAAACTGTGCCACCATCCTGTGGGAACCCAACTTCTAGGGCAGCCAACAGTTGTCCCAACCCATCTTCTATTCCCCCCATGGCTGCTCTGTAGGAGCTGCTGTCTCCACCCCTGCATTCTTGCTGTGCATCAGCATCAAGCCAGAGCATCGAGTACCCACACGCACCCGGTGTGGTGTCCCATAGGTGCTGCCCAGGGAGGAACTGTCAGGTACAAGAGAGCTCACACCTGGCTCTAGCTAGGACCACAGGGCCTCTAGCTAACACAGACACCCTCTCCAGCCTGCCTTCATTCTGTTTTTGCTTTTGAGACAGACACTCACTCTATAGCCTGGGCCAGCCTGGGGCTCTCGTAGTCCTCTGGCCTTAACCTTCCCAGGACTGGGATTGTAGTGGTGCATCACCAGGGCATCTAAGGTTCTTAGATCAGCCTTTTAATTAAAACACTTGTCTAGGCATGGTGGCGCATGCCTTTGAGCCCGGCACTCAGCTGGTAGAGGCAGGTGGATCTTTGCCGTTTACACAACCTGTAATTCCAGCTCTGAGGAGCTCATAGACTGCTAGGGCTTTCTGGCTTCCAGTCTAGTGAAAAAATATGTCCATCCCAGGTTCGGGGAGAGACCCTGCTACAAAGGAATAGGCGGTAGTGATAAATAACACCTAATACCCTGCATGTGTGTGTGTGTGTGTGTGCACGCACACACACACACACACACACACACAGAGTTCAAGTCCAAGACCCAGAGGGTTGAAGGAGAGAGCCAGCTCCCAGAAGCTGCCCTTGGACTCTTGTATACCTGTATACATGCACAAACAACTGAATTCACTCTTGTTTTTAAGTGCTAGGGAAGGACGTCACACTGCTAGACATGGGCTCTATCACTGAGCCACAACCCCAGCTCTTGAACGGCAAACTTTACAATAACACAGTAGCTAATTTTAGGTTGTGTACATATATATTTTTAAAGATTTATTTATTAATTATGTATACAGTGTTCTGCCTGCATGTCAGAAGAGGGCACCAGATCTCATTACAGATGGTTGTGAGCCACCATGTGGTTGCTGGGAATTGAACTCAGGTCCTCTGGAAGAGCAGTTAGTGCTCTTAACCTCTGAACCATCTCTCCATCCCCAGGTTGTGTATATTTTACTATAATAAAAATTAATGGGAGAAAACAAAGCCAGGCAATGGTAACAAATACTTAGGGTCTAGCACTCAGGAATGTCAAGATTCAAGGTCACTCTCAGCTGTACAGACAACTCCTGGCTAACCTGGGACATCTTATACAAGATCTTGTCTCAAAATAACAATCAGAGCTCCAAATAGTAGCTCAAGTCACCCATTCACCTCCTGGTACCTGGATCCTCACATGGCCTGGCACTGATCTCTACACCAAAGAGTACAGACTCTGCACCAAGGACTTCATATTCCACCAACGACTTTGTTTTTATTTGTATGTGTGGACAATGTGTGTATATTCAGGTGTGTGTGTATGCGCGTGCGTGCGTGCGTGCTGTGGGGTTCCTGTGGATGGCATCAGGTACTGAGCAGAGAGTGGATTGCAGAAGTTACTTGAACTGACTTTAAGGATTTTTGTAAATTTGAAGGGCAAAAGGGCTGGGCATGCTGGGAGATGTGGGCGCAGAGAACCCTTGAGAATGGAGAGCCCCAGAGAACAGGAAACATCAGAGCCCACGGTTCTGAACCCTCCGTGGACACAGGACACCGTGCTGCAAGTAGAACTCAAAGAGGAGGGAGCAAAAGAAGATGTAAAGGTTGCCTGGCATCTTGGGAACCTGATGGCCAGGCTGCCTGGCTTCCTGAAGGGGAGCTGAGATAGTCTGTCTCCATTTTGTTTTTCTGGATCTTCGGCTTTCAGAACATGATGCAGACTCTAGCTCTTCCTTTGCTAGGAGATAACTGCACAAATGGCCTGAGAAAGCTGTGTGGCCCCAGAGGGCTGGAGGCTTGCCAGTGCTGGCAGGCTGGCTGCTGCCTTCTGCCATTTCCTCTACTCTCCCAGAGAAGGGAGATGTGAGCCTCGTGTCCAGGCTCTCTGTAGGCTCTAGACCAAGTCTCTCCCCAGACGCCTCTGTTCTCCCTCTCTTGAGGCAAACAACACTCTGGATAATGCTGTGGGTCCAATTCCACAGACAGGAAGGGCTGGGCCGTAAGCAGGGCCCCAGGAACATTTCAGTAAAGGTTAACACACTCCACAGTGAGGACTGGCCTTGTTGTCGGCCACCCACGTTCAGCTATGAACTGCCCTGCTTTCTGCTCAGAATGTTGTGTCCAGTAACCCCAAAGACCCTCTGATTCCCCCTCCTCTCCTGGGTCCCTAACTCCTACTTCTAGAGAGCACCCAGTATGAGCACTATGAGGACTGTGCCAAGTGCTCACTTAATCCCTGTAGTATTTAGGTTGAGAAGTCACTCAGTTTACTGATGTGGGAATGGGGTTGGGCAAGACAGCACAAGCCCAAATACTGATGTGAATTGTACTCCACAGCAGGAGGGAAAGGACTCTTGAAAGTTACCCTAATCATCTGCTCTCTCTCTCTCTCTCTCTCTCTCTCTCTCTCTCTCTCTCTCTCTCACACACACACACACACACACACACACACACACACACGGAATTTTTTAAAATGGTGACTGATCACGAAAAGAAGAATCTTACAGATTAAGCACCTAGTTAGGGCAACTCAGGTTTGAATGTGGGTCTCCTACGCCTATACCAAGATTTGGTATAGCCTTGAATGTGTTTCTCCTATATGTGTGTGTGGGGGGCATTTCAAAGACAAATAAACTCTTAACCACACCCACTGATGCCAGCACTTGAGGAAGAGATGTTTAAAGAAGGTAAATGGTGGAGGGCATGGGAGATGGAAGGGAGAGGGAACTGGGATCTATATGTAAAATAAGAAAAAATGTTAAAGAAAAAAAGAAGATGAATGGCTTTCTATGATAGCTTGGAGTTTGCAAATATATCGTTTAACCCTTAAGAAAATCCCAGTAGGCAGATGTTGTTGTTGATGTCACCATCACTTACCATCATTATCACCAACATTATCATCAGGACCATCATCACCATCATTGTCATCTCCATCCCTAGCATCCCCATCACCACCACCACCACCATCATCACCATGGTTATCAGTATCATCAACATCACCACCATCATCATCACCATCTCTACTTTATAGGTAGGGGTGCTTAACCTTGAGGAAGAAGGCTACCCACAAGAAGGCTGTAGAACAGGGACCCCACTCTCCAGCAGCCTCAATCCCACTTCTGAGTGCAGGCCCTATCACAGCCCAGCTCCCTGCCGGCCAGGGTTCTTTTCACAAGTCCAAATTCCACTTCTTTCTTTCAAGCACAGGCTGTTCCCTTCCACGTTATCTGTCTGCGTGGGCCACAAATACAATTTATAAACAAGGCAAAAATGGCAGAGGAAAAATGAAGTCAGAATGTGCCATTAAAGCAAATCAAACAATGCCAAGTTAGTAGCTGGCTAAGTGGCTGTCTCATTGTCCAGATATTTCCTCCAATATGTTTTCAGAAGCAACGGCTGTTAAACAAGAGGGGAATGATCGCCAGGTTTGATTTCAGGAAGGAAGCCCCTCCCATTTCCCTGCTGGGCAATTCTGTTAATTTTCTTCTGACCCCCACGGCTGCTTATTAGGGAAACTGCCTATTTTCATAAACAAAATCTATTTGCTTCAAGATTCAAAGTTCATTTCTCAACGGCTAGGAACCCCCGAGTTCCCGCCAAATAGCTTTATGATTTTGGGGGCGGGACTTTAATAAGTCAAGCATTTGGATCATCCTGGGACCAAAGCAGACTTTGGGGGCTGAGGGAAAGCCACTCCCCCACTGGCCTGGAGTTCAGAGCCTTTTTGCAGATAGGCCCTTTTGGTACAAGACAAAGTAAATAACTCTGCTCAGCATAGAGCTGATTGCCAGGCTGCAGCCCTGCCTTGGGTGGCCACAGATACAGCCACGCAGACAACCAGAGAACTGTTTTTTGTTTGTTTGTTTGTTTGTTTTTTATCAGGGTCCTACACTGCTTATGGAGCAAAGCTGTCACTCTCAACTCTTGTGGAACAGTCATGTCTTAACACTGAGGCCAGAGCGCTGGCCAGAGCTTTTGGAGACTTGAGTCTCTGTCCTTGGCTCTGTGTGATTCTGGGCAAGCTGTTTTACCAAGCCAGACCTCTGTTTCGTCATCTATAAAATAGGATCCCTTATCCCTTCCAATCAAACAGTGCTGTCAGAAGCCGAGGTGGGTGCAGGCTAGAAAAAGTCATTCATTTCATTCCTCTTTCCCTCAAACGGAGAACTTTCCTCCACACAAAGGTCAGCGCCTTCCTGTCTGTCATGAGCATAATGAGCTCTGTTTAACAAGAATTCAGACCCAGCAAAACAAAGGAAGCCAGGGGCCCTCTGAAGGCTGCAGAGGTTTCTCCCAGACCCAAAAGACCAATTCAGAGGCAAGTTCCTCATTTTTTGAAGATAATAGCTGCTCTGGTAACCTTGTGGGGGCTGGGTGCCCACAAACAGTCTGGGAACCGGAGGCAGTGGGTGGGTTCAGCATGGATTGAATTGAAACCCTCCCTCTCCCTCCTTCCTTTCTAGTGCGTTCCTCCATGTGCGTATATTCGTGCATGTTCCCATCTGAGTGTGTGCACGTGTGCATGCATGTTCCTATGTGTGTAGAGAGGCCAGAGGTCAATCTCAAATGTCAATGTCATTCCTTAAGAACCATCCATCTTTTTCTTTTCTTTCCACAAGGTCTCTTGTTAATATTCAGGCATCTGTACTGGCCTGTCCTTGGGGTTCTGACAGGATATGCCCTCAGCTGCAGCCACCCAAGAGCACCACCTGTGTGTATTCACTGTGTGTTTTTATTGCTTTTGTTTTTTGTTGTTGTTGTTTTTGTTTTTCGAGACAGGGTCTCTCTGTGGCTTTGGAGGCTGTCCTGGAACTAGCTCTGGTAGACCAGGCTGTTCTCCAACTCACAGAGATCCGCCTGCTTCTGCCTCCCCAGTGCTGGGACTAAAGGTGTGTGCCACCACAGGCCGGCTTCACTATGTTCCCTTTTAAAGGGGCTCCACCCACCTCCCATCCTCTCTCCCTCTCTAGCTCCCTCTCTAGCTTCCTCTCTCCTCTCTCCTGTCGCTCCTGTCTCCAGAGGTCTCCCCCCTTCCCTTTCCCCTTTTTATGATCCCCTTGTCTAAAACAAACAAACAAACAAAACCCTCTGCTTGAACCCTGTCACATGGCATCTTAAATGACAACATCTCTCACTGGCCAAGTAACCTAGACTAGTTGGTCAGCAAGCTGAAGAGACCTGCCTGTCTTTACCTCCCCAGGTCTGGGGTTACAAGTGTGAGCCACTACACCTGAATTTTTCACCTTGTGTTTTAGGATTAAACTCAGATTCTTGTGTAAACACTTTATCAGCTGAGCTACCTCCCCAGCTCCTCCCCTTTTCTCTCTCCCCCCCCCCCCAGGGACTTAATATGTAGCCCAACCTGGCCTTGAACTCAGGCTCCTCTTTCAAGCTTGCATCACTATGCATGAGACTCTGTCTTCTTATTAAAAGAGCAGTAGGATTCCCAACCATGCGGGAGGAGATCCAGGACCCCTCTCCCTATAAAGGCTGGGCTATGATGGTGTAAACGGAGAGAGAAGCAACCCTGGAGCTTCTGCTTTTGACTTCTAGAGGGGGCCAGGGCGTCTGGTCTCAAAGAGGCCATGTTAGCAGGGGGTGGTGGGGACAGTAGTGGAAAACAGGCCCTGGGCAAATTGGGAAATAGTTCACTGTTCTGTAGAACACTTTAGTAAAAAAAACAAAACAAAACAAAAAACAAAACCCAAAACCAACCAACCAACCAACCAACCAACCAACCAACAAACAAACAAACAAAAACCCAAAATGACTACAGCAAAAGTCACTGCAGTCTCAGATGGCCTCAAACTCTCACAAGTGTGATTGTGCAATCCATGCATAAGTTACTAGCTGGCTCCATGGAGCGTTTTTAAACAGATGGGTACGAAGTGTGTACTTACAGAAAGTCTGTTTTCCATGACATCTGCAAAACAAAGACAGTTCCGTGTTGAGTGTGCGGGTCTAATGCAGCTTCCACACCAGAGCTGCTGGTGGGGCTGCACAAGGCAAGAGGGTGTGTGGGGGGGGATCACTCACTACTGCAAAAAGGGTCTCGGGCCATCTGCTGATGGTCTCAGGCCGTGTGACAGGCATGTAGAGCCCCTGGAATCCCTTTGACTTTTTTGTTTGTTTGCTTTGCTTTTTTTTGAAGCAGGGTCTCAATGTAGCTCATGCTGGCCTCTTAACTCCCTACGTAGCTGAGGCTGACCTTGAACTTCTGATCCTCCTGCCTCCACCTCCCTAGTGCCAGGCATTACAGGCCTGTGCTGTCACACCAGTTTATATGATACTGGGGGTCACACTCCACGCATTCTAGGCAAGCACTTTACCCGCTGAGCTATATACACCCTGTCTCAGACAGAGATGGATGGATGGATGGATGGATGGATTGATGGATAGATGGATAGATAAGAAGAGAGAGAAAAAAAGAAAGAAGGCTGAGAAAACCTTAAAAAAAAAAAAAAACTTGAGTTATGTTTGGTGGCTCATTCCTGTAAATCCAGCAGTCAAGATTTGAGGCAGGGGAATTACCAAGAGTTCCAGACTCTCTCTCAAAACAACAAACAAATAAAGCTCTGCATTCCTCAAGTCTACCTGCCCTTAAACCCTATCTTACAATGTTTCATTGTTCCTGGTTGGAGGGAACTGGAACAGCCATCCCTAAGGGACCCCTCTGCTCTCCTAGCTGGGCCAAAGGTGAATGGCCTCCGGTAAGTGTGTACATCAGTCCAGGCATGGGTCAGTCATACACTCCATACACTGAGACCTCCTGTCTCGTCCCAGGTCTTCACAGGAGGAGAAAAGCCCCATGCACTGGCTTCTTCTGCCAAACCATGTTTTCTGAAGGTGAAATGCTGAACTCTATATCTGGGCTCAGTGGTTAAGAGCACTGACTGCTCTTGCAGAGGACCCAAGTTTAGGTCTCAGTATTCTTGTGGACACTCACAACCATCTGTAACTCCAGTTCCAAGGGATCTGACTCAGACTTCTGGCCTCTGTGGGTACCAGGCTCCCACGTGCTATACAGACATACTTAAAGGTAAAGGACCCATACACTTAAAACGTATTTTTAATTAAGAGAAAAAAAAATCAGTTTTACAACCTTCAAAGTTTAAGCTCGCATCTAAGTTACTAGGAAAAGACCTGGGAATGTGGCTCAGTGGCAGGGTAGGTGCTTAGCAGACATGAAACCCCGGGTTTCTCTCTGGCACCAATAAATAAATAAATAGGTAATTAAATGAATCACAGTGGAGGGTGTTAAGTGTTGGCCCCAATTCCTCTAAGAAAACAGAAGAGTAAACACAAAATAAAAAAGGGACAGTTTCTCAGTTTGTCCTGGCTGCGGCCAGGGCATAATCTCTCCTCTCCTCTCCTTTGCAACCCCCCCCCCTTAGTTCTTTTTGAGACCGGATTCACTATGTAGCCTTGACTGCCCTGGAATTCACTCTGTACATCAGGCTGGCCTTGAACTCAGAGATCTGCCTGCCTCTGCCTCCTCAGTGCTGGGACTAAAGCCTGGATTAATCTTTAAAGCAACTACACCCCCACACAGATCTCGAGGGGCCAGGGCTAAGGAAACGATCTCCATTTCCAAATGCTAGGAAATTGAAGCTATTTTATTTATTTATTTGGTTTAAGAGCCCTGGCTCTCCTAGAACTTTTTTGTGTGACTGCTCAACAGTGGGAAAGGATTCAAGGATGCTGAATTAGCCACCTACATATTTGAAAATGGTTAAAATATGAATTTTATGTACATTTTTACAATATAAGAAGGTAAGCCCAGAGTCCAAAGCCAAGATTGCAGACAGTGTGCACGTCCCATGGCCTGCAAGCTCCCTCCTGTCTCTTTGTGACCCCCCCCAATTTCTCCAAGGGCCCCTTCCTTGGGCCGCTCTTTGGAGGCAGTCCTGCTGCATGCCCTTCTGCTTATCTAGGGGAGTGGCCTTCCTTTGAATTTCTCAGGGGGAAAGGGGTTCAAGAGCCAAAACTACGCCCTATGAGCCATTTCCCAAAACAGCCACTGGCTGGAAGACAGCAAAGAATGTAAGAGGAGAATGTCTGCTAAGATCTGGCCCTACACCTAGCCAGCTAGCTACTGGCTGCCCACACCCTCTGCACACACACACACACACACACACACACACACACACACACACACACACACACGATGCTTCTGGATTTTCTCTGTCAGCCATCCCTGGCTGATCACTCCAGGACTCCTGGGGAATAAAAGAGACCCTAGGAGCAGGACCTGCTGCACAATAACAGCACCCACAGATTGACTCTCTAAGTCCCCAGGCCAGCCCAGGCTAACAGCATATGGGTGGTTAGAAATGCAAATTCTTCAACCTAAAGGATCAGAAAATCTGAGTTTTAACAAATCTTGAGAATCTAGAATCTAGTCCATTCCCTCATTTCACAAAGAGACTATGTTGGTTACTTTTATATCACAAGCTAGAGTCACTTCCATTAGATTGCCGATAGGCAAGCACTTTCTCGATTAATGATTGGTGTGGGGGTCCTGCCCACTGTAGGTGGTGTCAACCCTAGGCAAGTGGTTCAGTTTCTGTAAGGAAGCAGGCAGAGAAAGCCATGAGGAGCAAGCCAGTAAGCAGCACTCCTCCATGGCCTCTGCAATCAGCTCCTGCCTCCAGGTTCCTGCCCTGTTTGAGTTCCTGTGCTAACTTCCCTCAGTGATGAACTATGATGTAGAAATGTAAGTCAGATAAACCATCCCCACCCAAGTTGCTTTCGGTCATAATGGTTTTCTTGTTTTGGTTTGGTTTGATTTTTTGAGACAGTTTCTCTGTAGCTTTGGAGCCTGTTCTGGAACTCGCTCTGCAAACCAGGCTGGCCTTGAACTCAGAGAGATCTCTTACCTCTGCCTCCCTGATACTGGGATTAAAGGTGTGTGTCACTACCACCCAGCTTGGTCATATGTTTTACCCCAGCAATAGAAACACTAACTAAAGTCTTGGAATGTTCCCCGACTTTACCAGGACCACCTGGGGCCAGTGTCACACAAGGATGTGGATTTTAACTTCTAGGAGAGGTAGAGTTGGATTCTCCAATGGATCTGGTGATGACTAGAACCCAAGCCAAGACAGATGGACAGTGGAGAGGATGAGGAGCATGAGGAAAATTTGCCCCAGATGCTTTCCTGGGAAGGTTAAAGCTTTTCAATCTTCTTGTCTATCCCTTTTTCTTTCCTTTCTTTTTAAATTATTTTTTTTTTAAACTTTATGTGTATGGGTGTTTTGCCTGAATGTATGTCTGTGTACCATGTGTATTTCTGGTGCCTCTGGTGACTGTAAGGGGTGTCAGATCCCCTACAGCTTGAGTTACAAATGGCTGTGAGCCACCATGTACACACTGGGGACCAAAGCCCGTCCTCTGCAAGAACAACCAGTGTTCTTAACTGCTAAGTGGTCCCTGGGTTCCATCTTTTAAAGACTGGGATTATGTAGCCTAGGCTATTCTTGAACTTGATATGTAAGCAAGTTTTGATTTTCCAGTCTTTACCTCCCCTGTGCTGGGATTGTAGGCACATACTGCCATGCTCAGCATCTTGTCTTTTCTTTACATGTTAATTGTTCTTTGTTAAGCAGTTACATAAATCCCCACCCTCCAATCTCCTTTTTGAGTCATTCCTAGCTGAGATTTCCTCGGCATGTTAATTAACCCAGTTTGTTTATCCCTTGTCGGTCTGTCTCATCTCATTTGAAAAGCTTAGGCAGAAACCAGAATCCCAGAAGTGTAAAGAGAAAAAAAAAAAAAAAAAAAAAAAAAAAAAAAAATTCTACCAGCTCCTTCCCCACTAACAAAGACAATGCAGCTAGGATTGTGGAATCTAGCTCTTGGTGTTTCTGTGATCTTGGTTAAGTGCCTTACACTGCCTGTGCCTCTGCATTTGTACTGGTGATGGGAGGGAAAGAGTCAGACCCTTAGAGCTGATGCTCTTCTGGGCTTTTCCCCCGCCCACTCTCGAGGCCCCATCCTTGATTCTAGCGTGAACCCTCCCACTCCACGAATCAGGGCCCCTCACTCACTAGGGTTGACCTTCCGGATCTCACTGTACACCGTCTCTGTGGCTCTCGTTCCCAGAGCTGGAAAAGGGACCAGGCACAGGTCAGTAGCTACCTCTGGGATCCAGGCCAGCCCACTGTTGTACCTACCTGCCGTCCAACAGAGCCCCTGTCCAGAAGCCTCACAAAACATGTCATTCTCCAACTTCAGAGTATCCTGACCTAACCAGAAGCTCAGGGAGATTGAAAACAGGTCAACGGGCTACCGAGGGAAGAGGGTGGCTGCAGGGAGAATCTTGGCTGAGGAGGGGGACTCTGCACAGACCCAAAGTCCCTAGCCTAGTGACCCCATCCTTCTTTTCCTGCCACAGAGACCCTGTGCTGGCTGCTCTCTCTGCCAGGACTCTCCTTTCAGGATTAGGCTGTGTGACAGACAGTCTCACTCCCCAGAGGCTGGATCCCAGGGACCAGAATTGAACCCTGAGGTCTAGGTTGAGCCTGATATCAGCAGTGGCCATACAGACTAGTTGAGACAATGGTAGAGCTGCCTGGGCTAGCTGCCTTTGGTGCCAACATCTGGGCTCATTACACATGATCTACTCATTCTAAGTGAAGCACTCTGGGGCCTATCCTGGCATTAGTTTTTGGTTTGTGTTGTCTTATTGCTGTTTTTTGTTTTGTTTTTGAGACTGTTTTCTGTAGCCCAGGATGGCTTTGAACTTACTGTTCAAAGTCTTGAATTCCAGATCCTCCTGCCTTTACCCCCCCCCCCAAGTACTAAGATTATGGACCTATACCATCATACCTAGGTCCATTGGTCTAGAGCTCTACAGGGCCTCAAACCTGTAGCCAGGTCATAATTCTCAGGGTTAAACCCTTTCAGAACAGAAGACAAGGCTACCTGTTTATTTCATATAGAAATACATTCACAGAGTATGCACACATTATACATACAGACATGTATCTCCTGTATACCCACTCGTGCATGGTATCCACACTCACAAACACAGGCATGCATACATAGACCCAGAGACCCTGAGGAAGCAGGACAAAACCTGAACACACCCTAGATTTCCATCACCTGCTGGAGAGATCACGAAGTCTCCTGGTACAGCTGGATGAGTATGGGCCGGCACCCTCCTCTGCCTATCTCCCCCAGATAGGCTGAGATGTCCTGCCACCACAGTGTCATGTGGGCATGCTATCCTCTTTGCAGATGCCTGGGACACCACACGAAGTCTAAGGACACCAAAGGTGCCTTCTCCCTATGCATTTTTTCACTATTTCACTTTTCACTGAGGCCACTCCTCCTGGGACTCTTCCTTTCTCTGGGCCCTGAACACTTCTACTGTCCTTTCTCTTACCCCACTGCTCCAAGACCCTTAGCACACAGCCATATGCACAACCTTCACACTTGCATCTTCACCCTGCTCTGTGCCCTGAGCAGTTACATGGGTTCCTGTGCCCCACAGCACTTCGGTGACATGTACCCAGAGCACAGCAACTTTCTTTGTTCCCACAGCTGTCTTCCCTGGTGGATCCCCAGGCTCCTCTGGATCAAAGTCCAAATTTATGCTCTCTCTCACTCTCAGGCTGTGCAGTTTCCCAAGGTACCAGTCACTGTTTGCAGTGATGGTGAAGCATCTGTCTTAGACCTTTGCACTTCAGAAAGGCTAGGTACTGTCAGGTCCCTCCAAGGTTTCCTGAGCACACCGCTGGAGAAATGGGAGGCAGGCGGGAGACTAAAGTCCAGGTTCTTCATTAGACACTGGATGTTTGTGGCTGTACAAGTCCCGCACATCAGAGAAAGCCTAAGAGTAGTTCACATCCCCGGAGTAGAACTCCGGGTACCCAGCGTGATGAAGGCATTGCAAAAGGAAATAGTGACTCTCCAGGCAGGAGTTGGAGCTCAGTAGAGCCATTGAGGTACCAGTCCCCCAATGCAAGAATATTTGCTTAAAAGAACAGAGGGCAGACAGCATAGAGACCCACACAACCCTTTACATTCTGCTCTGGAAACAGAGATGGAAACTCCAGGGGTCTCCAAACCTGCTGTGGGGCCATTTACATACCCCAAAGACGGATCCAACTGTACACACTTCCTATGTGTCCTGAACCACTGAAGGGGGAAATGTGGATCTGGTCCTAGCTTTCAGAAGCTCTAGCCTTCAGGGAAGAGCTGAAGGTGTGGCTCAGGAGTACAGCTCTTACTCAGCATGTCCAGGGCCCTGGATTTAAGCCCCAGCACAAAAAAAGAAACAACAAACAAATACCGCAGAGCTGGGGATTTGGCTCAGTGGATAAGAACACACCTGAGCTCGAATCCCCAACACTCCATAAAAATCAGGGGCCTAGTGTGTTAGGGGCAGAGGTAAGAGGATTACTAGGACTTGCTGGATGCTAGCCTAGAGACAGGGTCAGCAGGAGACCCTGTCTCAAGAAAATAAGGTGGTAGTAAGTGGTAAAGTAGAACATCTGACATCCCTTTTTGGCCTCTGCATGTGCTCAGGGATATGTGTACTCCAACACACACACACACACACACACACACACACACACACACACAGAGAGAGAGAGAGAGAGAGCGCACACTAAAAGCAATACTGCACTAACTGCTATAAAATGTTGTAAAATGTTGTCCATGAGAGGGATGGCCAGGCCCTCTGCCCTATCCAAACACAGAGCTAGGACAGGAAAGGGATGAACTGGAGGAGGACTGGGCAGCCAAACTTGGGTAGGGGTAGTCTGGACATCTTGTGAACTCCACTGTCCCCAAGCAAGTCAGGATACCAGGGATGGCCCCATGGTCTATGGTTACCCCTGGTTTTGCCCAGCTTGGTGGTGGTAATGGGGGCTGGGGTGCAGCTGCTCATTGCTCTTCTTCTTTCTAAGCCCCTGTGGCAGCAGCTGCCTGCTAATGACTAACCCAGGCCAGCAGGCTGTTTGTTTCTGCTGTCAGAGGTGTTTCCTGATGGGACTCTATTCTGGTTTCTGTTTTTCTCCTATGGGGTTTTCCCAGCAATTAGCCTCCAAGCAAACAGCAAACTGGGATTTAATGAGTTCCTTCCCGCCCTCCTCCATCCCCATCCCACTTGGTTAGTTGCCAGCCAAGGTTAGAGCTGGACTCAGTCCCTACAGTATAGCCTCCTCCAACTGTGAAGGATGGGAGACCCTGAGAACTGGGCACCGGGTTGGCGGATAGCGGTGTGCACTTCGTCATCACTGGCCCTGAATCCACAAAGCCCTTTCTTCACCTCGTAATGCCCTAGTCCCTGCCTGGGAGGGGACAAGGGGCCAGCACCACCTGAGCCCCTCACTGCCCGTGTGCAACAAGGAGGCTGGGACAAATAAGTACAACTTGTATCTCCCCCAGATACAAGTTTGCCCCAGATACAAGATACTCCCTTTGCCACCGGAATGACCTTTATTCCAGAATTTCCCCAGAGCCCTGGCTGAGCACAGCTACTTGTGCGAGCTGAGAAATGTGACTTGGCTGCAAGGGACAGCTGCAGAGCCTGGTGAGGGAAGCCAGAGGCGATTGTCACTGTCCCACCCTATTCGGGGAACTGCCATACTTCCTCCATTTAATCCCTCCACACCCTCAAGACGCAAAAGAACACGTTCCCAGTGAAAGGGGAACCGGGCCTTTCTCAAGTGCCAAGGTACTTCCTTATTCCCTTTTCAGCCTCCTTACACCCAAACTCCCCAGATACCATGTACAGCCCTCAGAATTCTACCTGCCCAAACCTAGGACCTGAACCACTGTAGGAGGACTGACGTAGCCTGGTGCCAGAGCCCGGGGTGACAGGGACTCTGGGATCTTCTGCACAGACAGAAAGCAGGGAGATGGTCCCCTGAGCTCTCTGACGTCATCCCTCACCATCCGCTGGAGTGTTCTGCGGAGCATGGAGGTCAAGAACAGACAGGAAGGTGGGATTCTTCCATCCAAGTTCCGTGGGCCACCCTGCTTCTTGTCATCCTGCCCTCATGCTGACCTTCCCCTTACCTCCAATCCTGACTTCTTCCCCTTAGGAAGAAGAAAGCTGCTCCTCATGTTGCTAAGCCCAGGATGCACAGTGACTGGATGATATTCCAAGCCCAGGCTGGACCAGCAATAGCTGGGACTGAGCAATCCACAGTTTCTGCTAGCACGGCCTGCACAGACTCCTGAGCTCCCGGCCCCTGGGCTTCCTTCTCTTTGGTTTCTCACTAGGCATCTCAGACTTCACCTAGGCAAACTAGACCTCATCCTCAAGCATCACAGCCATCCGTCCAAACCATGCACTTACTCGCGCAAGAAACGTGAGGATCCTGACTCCCCCGTCCTGGCCAAGGGCTGTAGCCAGCTCGATAATAGGCCTAGATGCCATCCCTTGCTGGCCCTTTGCTCACCCCACCCCAGCCATATCCCTTGCAAGGTGATAGCACACTCATCTCTACTTCCATTCGTATTCTTTAAGCTGCTTTCCTTACTGTCCTGAGTTTGTTTTTATATACATATGTATGTACGGTATATGTGTGCGAGTGCACACGCCCGTGCGTGCAGGTATGCTGCACAGGTGCTCTCATGTGTGTTGGGGTGATGGTGTGTGCACCTGTGGAGATCTGAGGTTGACACTGGGAGACTCCCTCAATACTTCTCCACCCTTGTGTCTTGATGGGTGTCTCTCTGAGTCTGTGTGTGTTTCTTGTGCTTTTTTTTGGCATCTGTTTGTCTGTTTGTTTTGCCCCATTCTGGTTTACTTGTTTTATTGTATCATATTGCATTTTACTTATATTTTTTTAAGATGGCTGTTTGTTTTCTTATGAGAGAGAGAAAGGAAGGGTATGGATTTGGGTGGGCGGGAAGGTTGGGGAGCATCTGGGAGGAGTTGGGGGAGGAGGAAAAACCTTGATCAGAATATAGTATATGAAAAAAAAAATCCACTTTTAATTACCATATTCACTGAGGCCAGATGCTGACACAGCTAGCCAGCCTGCTCTGGGAAGCCCCTGTGTACTTTGTGAGGAATACCGGAATTACAGGAGGGTCACCACGCCCACTCAGTACTTATGTGGGCTTTCGAGACCCAAATTCCAGGTCTCACACTGGTGAGGTCAATAAAGGCTTTCCCCACTGGGCCGTCTCCAAGCCCCTGAAGATATTTATTTATTTATTTATTTATTTATTTATTTATTTATTTATTTATTTATTTAAAGGAAGGAACTTAGAACCAGCCATTTCCCTGCCTGAAGCCTTCCAAAACATTCCCTCGTCCTTTTAGAGCACGACTCTGAAACTCTTGTCCCCGAGTGCCCCTGCCACCATCCTGTTCTAACTGTCTCTGCACACAGGAACTTCCTAGATACTGTGTAACAGCACTGGCTGTCCTGGAACCCACTCTGTAGACCAGGCTAGCCACAAACTCACAGAGATCCGCCTGCCTCTGCCTCCAAAGGAATGAGCCACCACCACTTGGGTTTTCAGAACTTGTGAGACAGAGTATCTCATAGCCTGGGCTGGCCTTGAACTCTTGATGCCCTTGTGTCACCGGCACACACACACAGGCTTTGGGACTGAATGTGGGAATGTACCACCATGGCCAGCTCCCCTTTCAGACCAAAATAAATGAGCTAGCTCTGATCTGCCAAAACTAACTTTCCTACTCCCTGGGTCTTCCTAGCCACCCCTACCCTCACACAGCTGCTTTCCTTACAATCTTCAGCCCAGCTTACTCTATGGCTCTCAAAGAGGCCAGAGAGACGTCTGTCCGCTTTTACACCTTCTCCAACTCCACTCTACCCATTCCCAGCACTTCTGATCGCCTGACATCATCTGTCCTTTAGTCCTCCCAGCTCCCATGTCAGCTACCAGGGAGGGACCACCCATGCCTTTGTGCCTTGAATAGTGGCTGGTACCATCAATGCCTTTATCACTACTGGTGCCAAAATGAGTGACACACTTCACTATAAAATAAAAAAGACAAGAACAACAGGCCTTCCATGCTCCCCACCCTCAGAAGCAGCCAGGACACACACGTCGAAGGGCCCATAAGGTCCCACAAAGCTAGCTCCATTAAGATCTCTGACACACACCTTGGGGGGTAGTTCTGACCAGAGGCCATGGGAAAGGAGCCAGTGGTGTATCACAGGGACAGTACAGGGCATGTTCCCCTGACTGGAAATTTCTCACACACGCCTGCCTACTGACATGGTACTTGAAATCATGTTCAGCAAGAGGAGGAGGAGGAAAACTCCAGAACTCCTCCTAAGTCATTGAGCAAGAGGTAGCTTCAGAATGCCATCGCCATGTGGCCCCAGTGAATGATCGACAGGCCCGGCCTGGAAAAGTGCCCATGTCTGCTTGGCTGAGAACACAGCACACAGCCTTAGCCTCAATGCAAAGGGAGATAGATGGCAACAGTCCCAGGGAGCTTCCCCCAAGGACCGGAAGGCTTGGGATGGTCAGTTCCTTTGAAGCATGCAGAAGTCCAAGGGTGGGCTAAGGTGGAGGAAGCTTGAGAGATGCCGAGGTCATGCTCCTGTATTTTCTGTGACCCACCTACTGTGCATCAGTCTCCCAGCACTGAATCAGAGATGGGATGTACAGGCAGTTTGCCCTTGAGTGAACTACACACCCAACAAAAAAGCCAAGGCACAGATCCAATGCCGCGCTGAAAGAGGCACTTGACTTTGCCCAAGAGTCCCTCTAAGAAGGTAGGTAATCTTCAAGTTAATGTGAATGGATGTAGACTCACCATGGAAGCTTTACCTCTAGGCATGTCTGTGAGGAAGTTTCTAAGTTGGGTTAATTGAGGTAGCACTATGTCATGGGCTGGGGTTCCAGGCTGCATAAAAATGGCAAACCTACCTGAAACTCAGGGCTCATTCTTTGCACTCCCAGGATCCAGTGTGAAAACCTGCCCTAGTCCCTTCCATGAAGAATTGCATCTCCTCCAACGGTAAGGCAAATAAACTCTTTCTTCCTTAAATTGGTCTTGTTAGGCATTTGGTCACAGCAACAAAGTAAGCAACATATACACTGCCCCTATTTTATTTTATTATTATGTGGGGGGGTTGGAGTTGGGGTTTGCTATGAGCAAATGTGAGTACAATGCCTACAAAGACTAGAAGAGAATCCTAGATCTTCTGGAGTTACTGGTGGTTGTGAGACACTGGATTTGAGTGTTGGGAACCAAATTTAGGTCCTCTAGGAGAATAATGTGTGCTCTTTACCACTGAGCCATCCCTCCAGCCCTAGACTCAACATTTGGTCCACACAGGCAACTGTTATAGGAACACAGTGCACTAGGCAGGGGCTAGCTTCTGGAAGAAGGCCTGAATACCTGCAGCGAGGGAGGGAGCTCCCCACAAAGACTCTTCCAGAGAAACAAAGTGCTTAGCTCTTAGTGCCTGCCTAGCACCCAGTGAGTGCTAAGGGCCAGTCCAGACTTATGTGCTGTGGTAGTTTGAAATAAGCTCATAGGGAGTGGCACTATTAGGAGGTATGGCCTTGTTGGAGGAAGTGTGCCATGTGGGGGTGAGCTTTGAAGTCTCCTATGCTCAAGCTTACACCCAGTGTCTTAGTTCACTTCCTGTTGCCTGCCAATCAAGATGTAGGACTCTCAGCTCCTTCTCTGGCAACATGTCTGCCTGCGTGCTGCCTTGCTTCCCACCATGACGATGATGGACTAAACTTCTGTAACCCAATTAAATGGTTTCCTTTATAAGTGTTATTGTGGTCACAATGTCTCTTCACAGCAATAGAAACCCTAACTAAAACAGGCGCATCTAGTAGGTCTTGCAGACACCTCCCTTCTGACAGCTCTGACTGTGCACAGCACTCCCAGGTGGCATCTACATCCAACCCCAGAACCTAATGTGGGCGTGGCTCACTTGATGAGGGCACTTACCTTGGTGAGGCTCATGGGGGGATACTTCCACTTCTGTGTATTCCACATCCATGTTCTGGGGGACTGTTCAAAGGAAATCACAGCACCTTGAGTTTAGACTGCATCTCCTCCAGAGGTACCAAAGCACACTAGAGGCCTTCATTCCAGTTAGCCCTATACTGGTCTGATGGGAGATGTCATTCTGTAAATGTTTCTCATGCTGGTTAATGAATAAAGCACTGTTGGCCAATAGGAAAGGAAGATAGGAGGGACTAGGAGACAAGGAGGAAAGAGGAAGTCGTAAAGAGAGTCAAGATGGAGAGTCTGGAGAAGGCAGTATGCCGGCCGGCTCCCCGGTAAGAGAAATACATAGATCAGCAGAAATGGGTTAATACTTAAGACAGAGCTAGCTGATAAGAAACAAGTACTTGGCCAATAGCATTGTATCAAATACAGTCTCTGTGCATTAATTGGGGCTGGCGCGGCGGCGGGACAAGACCAGCAGCGGCAGGGGGAAAACCGTACTCCTTACACCTGTGCAGGCAGCAGACACCACTACCTCTCTGACTCCCGTCACCTGAGTGTGGATAGAGTCTCTGCCAAGGTTTCTACAGTGTGTAAGACTTTCAGCAGGTTAACAGGTATGGCAAACAGCCCAGGACATCCCCACACGGTTAATTCCCACCAGTCTCAAGGACATGGGAAAGGATATGAGTGCTGTGGGACCAGGCTTACCAGCATCTGAGTGTTCTAAGGAGCTGATGCATCCCAGGTAATGAAATCTCCAGGCTCTGTGGAGATACCTGGGAAATGACCTTGTTTTCAGCCCAGGCTATTGCTGCCACTGTTGTTTGTGTCTGGTACCCAAGGAGACCAGAAGAGGGTGTCAGATCCTCTGGGACCAGAGTTACTGTATGGGAGCTGAAGCTGGGTTCTCTGATAGAGCAGTTAGTGCCCATAACAGCGAGCTATCTTTCCAGCTCCTGCTGTTGTTTCTTGAGACAGGGTCATGTGTATCCTGGGCAGCCTGGAACTTGCTAGGTAGCCAGGGTTAGCCTTGAATACCTCCTGGTCTTCCTGCCTCAGCCTCCTGAGTACAGGGATTACAGGTATAAGCCATGCCTGGAGTTGTGTGTTTTAAGGACCCACAGAATGAGGGGTTCTTTCTAACAGCTATAATGGATTGTGCAGTCTAAGAGACTCTGTGGAAGCAGGTCAGGGGATTCAGTTCTCAGGAGAGGAGCATGGGATAGGGAATACCTTTAGGAAATGATTTAAGCCAACCCCTTAAAGCTTGAGGCAGAAGCAAACAAAAACTGTCTATTGTTAGTTATCTTTAAAATAAATAAATAAATAAATAAATCTTACAGCTGAGAAACCAGCATGGGACTGAACCACGCTGCCTGAATGTGGGTGTCAGCTGGGAGGCCTGGGCAGTCTATGGGGCCTCTGGCAGTGGAACCAGTATTTATCCCTAGTGCATGATGGGCTTTGGGAGCCCTTTCCCTATGGAGGGATTCTCTCTCAGTGTAAGTACATGGGGGAGGGTCTTGGTCCTGTCCCAAATGATGTAACAGACTTTGATGATTCCCCCATGGGAGGCCTCACCCTCCCTGAGGAGTGGAGGGGGATGTGGGATGGGGGTACAGGAGGGAGAGGGAACTGGGATTGGTATGTAAGATTGTTTTTAATTTAAATAAAAATTAATTTTAAAAAATCATAAAGATCTCCACCTCAGCCACTGGAGGAAGACATCCTCCTGGGCCACTCTGAGTGCCAGGAAGTTTGTTTGTTGTGTTTTAGGTGTGACAGCTCATTTCTACTGGGCTTAGGAGGCATTATGGTTCAGAGCACCGGCTAGCCTCCTTGGAGTCTATACGTTACCACACACAGGACCTCTAAGAGGGATGGGAAATTATCCAGCCACCTCAGAGTTTAAGTTGTCTTTTCCTGTGATTACTCATTTATTTTTAAAGACAGGGTCCTACTGCTCACTGTGTATCCCTGGCTGACTTTGACCCCCACAGAGATCCACCTGCCTCTGTCTCCTGAGTGCTGGCATTAAAGGAGTTCACCACTACGGTTGCTTGTGAATCATTTTTTTAAATGTAAAAGTTTCTAATAAAACATCTAAATAATGACCTTTATTTTGATTTATTGGTTTCATTGTGTCATTTCCAACATCATCATAACCTGGTTGAAAATAACAATCACAGTGAGTGACAGTGGAAATTAGTTTCCTGTAACCACGAGCATGTGTGATTGTGTGTATGTGTGTGCACACACACGTGTGTGTGAGCAAGCACCTTGAACGTCTTCCTCTATTACTGTTCACATTTTCCAAGACAGGGTTTCTCTGTGTAGCCCTAGCTGTCTTGAAACTCACTCTGTAGACCAGGCTGGCTTCAAACTCATGGAGTTCCACTTGTCTCTGCCTCCTGAGTTCTGGGATTAAAGGTGTGCGCCACCACTGCCCAGCTGACATGGGGCACTTTTGTTTGAGAGTTATTTGGAAGTCAGAATGGTTTGCGGTAAGCGAATTAATTAAAAATTAAGCTTCTTTCTAGAAGGGACCAGTTACTAACAACAAACACTAACAACAAACACAAAAGCTGGTGGTTAGCATATGCTCTCCAGTTGGGGGATTGGGTTGACTTAAAGAAACAATAGAATCTCTAGGTTATCGCCTCAGTGGACACAGACAAATCAAAGTGTGGGACTCGCACAGTAGTAATGCCCTTGCCTGGATTGTATGAGGCACTATAAAAGCAAGCAAGCAAGCAAGCAAACATTTCAGCATGTTCTTCGCTTTGGAAAATTACATGTGGCTGGAGAAACGGCTCAGCAGTTAAGAGCACTGACTGTTCTTCTAGAGGACTGGGGTTTGATTCCCAGCACCCAAGTGGCAGCTCACAACTGCCTGTGACTCCAGTTCCAGACGATCGGACACTCACACAGACATATGTGAAGGCAAAACCACCAATGCATATAAAAACAAAACAAATTATTTAAAAAATTCTTATACCTACTAGAAATACTATTCTTCAAGAGCACAGTTCTCCAAGCTGTGTTTAAGCTAATTAGTTTTAGGTTTGGATTTTATTTTGTTTTTATTGCTTGTTTTTTGAGACAAGGTCTTGATATGTAGCCCAAAGTGGTTTGGAACTCACTGTATAGAACAAGATGGCTTCCAGTTTGTGGTGAGCCCTGTGCATCTGCCTCCTGAGTGCTGGAATGTTAGGTGTGATCTGCCTCTCAGTGACGTCCTCACAGACCCAAGGGTATTGAGACCCACTGGGGCAGCCTCACTCCATTGATGTCTGCTTTAGAATTACTCTCAAACCCAGCAGTGATGGCGCAGGCCTTTAGTCCCAGCACTAAGGAGGCAGAAGCAGGTGGCTCTCTGTGAGTTCAAGGACAACATGAGCTCCAGGGATGTTACACAGAGAAACCCCGCCTCTGGGGTGGGGTGAGGTGGGACATCTCAGCACTTCTTAAAAATGCCTCTGCTGAGAGGAGAATGTTTCCATTGGTTTCCCTATGTGGCAAAGTTTAGTGACGTGGTGGGAATCCCATCTGAAACGTGTGTTACAGACAATTTAATTCGACAGCTGGTTTTTGCCTCCCAAGCGCAGTCTGATTAGTCCAGGGCAATTTCAGCCTTTGGAGGTATTTCTTCATTCCAAAGAAATGAAGCATAGAGGGTGAAAACAGAACTGTCCTTTTCAGTCTGTGTTTGCTAGCTTATCTTCCAGTGGCAGATGAGCTGGGTACCACTGCTTGAAACCGGGGTTTCCCTTCTGCCTCAACCCCACCCACCCAGGGTTGGTAAAAGTCTTTTAATTACAAGAAGCCTTGACTTTACCGTAATGACTGTTGGCTTCCACATTGGGCTCAGAAACCTTCTCACTGTTGGAGTTCAGAAGTGGGGCTGCTGGCCTTCACACGGAAATCAAAAGGAAAAGAGAATAATAGATATTAACATTTTTCACTGGACCCCCCAAACCCACAACACCATCAAAGGAAGATCAAGAGAAAGCAAGAAGAAATATGCCCATTACGCGTTGGCAATCACAGCACTGGGAAGGCTGAGGCAGGAGGATGGCTGGGAATTTGAGGCCAGCCAGGGCTACACAGTAAGACACAAGCTTGTCATGGTATCACATGCCTGTAGTCCTAGCCCTTGGGAGGCAGAGGCAAGAGGATCAGGAATGTAAGGCCAGTCTAGACTATGTGAGGTCATGTTTGAAAATGAAAATGAAAGGTAAAGGGTATAAAGGTATTTTTATTATTTTTAGGTGTGTGTGTGTGTATGTGTGTGTGTGTGGTGTGTGCTCACATATGCATGTGCATGGTGTGTGCTACCTGCAGAGGCTAAGCCATCTCTCCAGCATGGTAAAGACATTTCTTTTTATAAAGGCCAATTTGGGGTGGTGGTGGAGGGAGTTGGCACACACCTTTAATTCCAGCACTCTGGAGGCAGAGGCAAGTGGATCTCTGTGAGTTCCAGGACAGTCTAGTCTACAGAGTGAGTTCTAAGACAGCCAAGGCTACACAGAGAATAGAGAAATTCTGTCTTAAAAATAAAAAATAAAATAAAAAACAAACAAACAAACAAACAAACAAAAAAGGCCAGCCAGCTCTATTATTCTAAGAGTATAAAGTAGGCAAGCCTCTACTATGACAGATAAACAGAAACGCTCACGTGTGCATGCACACGCACACACACACACACACACACACACACACACACACACTAACTATACCCAAGGCCCTTATTCTTTGAGTTTGCCAAGAATCTCCAACAATTTCCTAATGACCAGACTGTGCCTGCAGAGACACCACCCCTCTTACAAGAACACTGACCTGGACATCTCCACTGGTTTCTGTTTGGCTTTAAAAAAAAAAAAGAAAGAAAGAAAGAACTCAGGTCAGTGTAAGTATGCTGACTCTCCTAAAGACTGACTACCCATAAACATTAAGGGGAAAGAGGAACTGGGGGTGTTGCTCAGTGGGTAGCGTGTTTGCCCGGCATGGACAGAGCTGTGGGCTCAGTCCCTAGCACCATAGGAACCGCATGCTAGCCGGTGATCCCAGCAGAGGCAGAGGATCTGAAGTTCAAGGGCATCCTCATCTCTGCTGAGGCTAGCCTAAGGTAAGGGCATGGATGGGTTGGGGGTGAGAAAAAGAGAATGTGCCAGATGAAATCATGCACATTCACAATGAGTGGAGAGGAGGGGAAAAGGGTCACCCGCCCCTCAATACTTTTCTTGCTTATGTTCGTGCAGCTGAGGATCCATGCCAGGGCTGCAAACACACTGAGCACATGCTACCATCACTGAGCTACACCCTCCTCCCCTTCTCTTGGCTTACAGCAAGAGACTTCATGTAGTTTTTTTCAGATATAACATTTTAGCCAGAAGCACTTTTAGTTCACAGCATGTGACCAAGACCAGGTCCAGGACTCAGATTCCCAGAGAAGAAAGCACCGTCTCTCTGATTCAAGATGATTGCAAAAGGCAAAGCCTAAGCCAATTCCTGTGCTCTCAGGTCCAAGCTGGCCTGAAACCAAAGTCAGGGCTAACCTTTGGAAGAAGTTCCCTTGAGGTCTGTCTGTCTGTTCCCAAAGGAGCTGCAATTTTCCTACGGCAGAAAAGACCAAAGACCCCTCCCCTTCCCATATGCTCTCCTAGCCCAGACAGCAGTACCAGAGGCTCCTGAGAGCCCATCTGCCCATCATTCTGTCCCACCCCCACCCCACTCCAACCCCATCCCCCAGAATACACCAGCATTGTGTGTCACTTTCCTTATGCCTGGGCTAGACCCGATTCCCAAGTGCCAGCTGGTGCTCCTAGCTCCCACTGATGTACGCGGTAGAAGATCAGTGCACAACTGGATGATTATCTGGGAGGTGCACGGTGTGAGCATGTGTGTCACAGCTGCGGCCAGTTTCCTGGCAAGAACCACCTGTGGACAGGTGCTCACCTCTGGCTTTCCTCAGGAAGTAGCATTTGGCAGCAACTATCAAGGTGGCGATGACCACTCCAATGACAACCACTGCAATGAGCCCTTTCTTCCATGGAGCGAGAAAGACTGGAAGTGGGGGAAGAAAAAGGAAACACACGTTTTTTTCTCCTGCCAGCAAGAAATGACAGCAGATTTAAGCAGCCACTCAGACCCGTTTTTTGCAAGCCTTGTAACTAGCATCTTGCTTTGGCATCTGTCTGGGAGGGCTTCTGCCTTCCTTCAGCCGGTGCAGAGCTAGATGGTGGTCTCTGCTAGGAGCCAAGGTTGGCTATAGTCTTCAAGGAGGTACCAAGTCAATTTTGCTGAGATGTTGCTCCGTTTGGAGTGTCCCTTCTGCTCTCCTCTGTGTCTGCATAACTCTAGGCTCCTATAAACATGTCTGTGTTTGGACACAGCTGGTTCATGGATGGACATCTCACGCCTCTTTGTCATGTCCTTGGAGTTGGAACTGGATAAGATATTTTTCAGTTCCTTATAGCTAATTCATCTCCTTTTCCATTTCAGTTCATATGAGTAGGTTTCTGCCGACTGTAACTGGTCAGACATTGTTCTCCATCCCCCCTACCTCCCGAGACAAGGTTTCTCTGTGTAATAGCTCAGGCTGGCCTCGAACTCACTAATATTCACGTGCTCTGCTTCCAGAATGCTGGGATTAAAGGCGTGTGCCATCATGCCTGGCTATGCTTTGGTCTCTTAGCCTTCACTCAAATGAGCTAGTCTCCATCGTCTTCCTCCTATATGGAGCATATGAGCTTTCCTCCCCTTGGAGGCCCCCATACTACGCCTCGATGGTGGGGCCTGGACTCACCTCTGACTGTTAGAATGCTGCTTTGGGGGCTGGTCGTAAAACTGGCTCTGTTGGAGGCCGTGCAATAGTACTGTCCCTCCTGCTTCTTGCTGGCTTGTTTCTCAATCCAAAACGCTTGAGTATCATTTAGGATGGTTTCGTGGAAGGGTCTGTCATCCTTTTCTTTGTAAAACTTGAACGTGATTGGGCCAGTCCCCTCTTTCACAGAGCACCGAAGTACTATTTCATCCCCAGACTGTACCTCGTTACTCGACAGAATAGAAATCGTGACTTCGTCCACCGGGGCTGGAAAACAGGCAAAGGATTAGTCCTGAGCAGAGCAGGGCAGAGGCAAGTGTGGAGTGCACACCCTGATCCCAGCACCTAGGATCCAGGCCAGAATGCAACATAGAGACATAGGAAGCCCTGTCACAGAGAACCCAGGAGGGAGAGGAAGGGAACTGAACAGAAAAGCCATTTCTCCTTGTCAACTTTTTTCCTAGCCTAGGAATTGAATCCTCTGCTCCCCACACGTCCCTCCCCTGATTATCCCAGAAGACAGTAACAGACACCTCCTGTCCTCATCTACTGACAAAATGCAAAATACTAGTGCTGTGGGACAGTCTTTTTGCATATTGTGAATATTTGTTACCCTCGTTGGTTTAATAAAGAGCTGACTGGCCAATGGCTAGGCTGGAAAAGGTTAGGCGGGACTTGTGGACAAAAAGAGAGCTCAGGGAAGAAGGGGGGGAGGAGGGTGGAGTTGCCAGTGAGATGAGGTGAGACGTGGAGAGAAGCAAGATGAGCATGCCATGCTGACAAATGGCATCACCTTGTGGTAGAGTAGAGAAGGAATGTGGGCGAATTTAAGTTGTAAGAGCTAGTTAGTAACAAGCTTCAGCTATTGGCCGAGCATTTATAATTAATGGCAAGTCTCCGTGTGGTTACTGGGGAGCTGATGAACACTGCCTACACACCAGGGACATGCCCCATCCTCCCACCTTGAGCACGACTGTCCACGAAGCAGCACTACAAGATTAAGTTGTGTTTTCTCTTAGAGACGTGAGTGTGTGTGCGCGTGCGCACGCACGTGTGCTATGTGTGTCCTGTGCATATGTTCAAATGAATTCTCTCTGCCTTTCTGCTTACAAGAAGATGTTTGACACTTACCCTGGTTTCTTTCCTGTTTCTTCTTAGCTTTCACAGCCTCATTTCCCATTTCCTTGCTACCCATGAAGTTTGCCTTCCATCCACCTGGCTTTGATACTGTTGTTCGTAATTGCCATTGTTTTTGTCTTTTTGGTTTTTGTTGTTTGCTTGTTTGTTTTTGGAGACAGAGTTTCTGTGTGTAGCCCTGGCTGTCCTGGAACTAGTTCTGGGCCCAGCAGAGTAAGTCCAATGGAGGAGGCCACTCGTTCTTCGTGCCGTTTCCGGGTTTTAGCCTCCTACAGCCAGACTGTCTCCCAGCTCCTCCTGTTCACATGGCTTCCCCTGTCTCCGAAGCTGATTCTCCTCCCTTACCTTTTCCTTTATTGTTTGTTTTGATAGTGAAATTTGGACTTTCTGGAAAGTTGGCCCTCAGTCTTCCAACTCCACTCTTTTTAAAAAGTAACATTTTGATCACTTTATTCTGTGCACAGATGTGCCCACGCCACAGCGCGTGTGGAAGTGGGAAAACACTTTGTGAGACTCTTTCCTTCCACCATGCGGGGTCCCAGGGATTGAACTCGGGCCATCAGGCCGGGACAGGATTTCACCTCCACACTCAGTTTTTATTTCTGAGCACTTAAATTTAAACAGAAGCTTCCTGTCCAGACAGCTTCCCGGAAGCTGGAGGCTCCCTTCCCACCTGTAGACTTAGACAGCCAAATTCGCTGTGCCCCCCACCGTGACCCTTCCCTTAGTGGCATTCTTAACCGTTCAGACCACCTTCCCTACCAGTGGCGGTGGACTGGACAACAGATGACATGAGTCACCTCTCAGCAAGCCCCAAGGGTGGTGAGATCTGAAGGAAGCTAAGCACAGGCCTGGAAGTGGGATGGCTGTGGTCCCACACAGGGACAACCTGAGCACATTACCAAATCCACTGGAAAGCAGAAGGGATTAGTGGTGAATTGGTGTCAAGAGCCAGACTGCCTGGGCTCAGACCCCAAGCCTACCACCCGCCATGTATTTGCTCTAAGTCCTAGGACTTCATTGCAAATGCAAGGGTAAACTATGATGAGTCTCACGAACTATTGATTTACTAGGGATACTTTGCTACAGTGCTTCCTTTACCCAGGCCTAGACACATGAGAGGTCTCTGTAAATGCTAGCCACTAATACAGACCCGATCTAAACCCATGGCTTCCTCACGGGTGTTCACACTGACTTCTTTTTTGCTGGTTTTTTTTTTTTTTTTTTTTTTGGGACAGGGTTTCTCTGTGGCTTTGGAGCCTGTCCTGGAACTACCTCTTGTGGACCAGGCTGGTCTCAAACTCACAGAGATCCACCTGCCTCTGCCGCCCGAGGGCTGGGACTAAAAGCATGCACCACCACCGCTAGGCCACACTGACTTCCTAACATCTGGAGGTTGGGCGTACTGGCTCCTCAACACCAGCCAGATACAGAGCAGCCAGGGTCCCCAAACCCTCTCTTATCATGCTCCTTGTCCACTGAGAATTGGGTCTTATGCATCCCAAGCTGGCCTTGATCTCACTATGAAGCTAAGGATAAGCTGGAACTACTGATCCTCCTGCCTCTCTCTGCCCGGAAGTACTGGGATTATAGGCCTGTCCACCTCACCCATTGCCCCTATCCTGTGGGCAAGTCTTGCCCACACCAGCACGTGTAGATGGTATGCTTTTATACATTGCATGTTGATGACACAGAGTTGTTAAGCAAAAGTTGACAAATGACAAGAGGAGGAAGGCTGGTTAAGTGTCTGTCAACAGGACTCAGAGCAAGGTAAGCAGTGTCATGGCTAAGGCCACTCAAAGGCACAAGTCAGACGCTGAGGGAAAGCTATCTGTTCCCAAGACTACGGTGAGACTCCCAAGCGGTTCCCATGAGCCAGTGTCTGCAACTCTGTCTGCCAAAAGTTTTCTTGTGTGGCCCAGATGTCCCACCAAGGTCAAGGGTAGAAAAGAGTTCTGGCCTGCAGCTCTTGGGGGGGGGGGGGAAGTGGCTTTCTAGTCACCTGAAAAGGTGCAAAAAACCTCAAATACATTCTATCAAGGGTCACTTGAAAGGTCAAAAGGAATTACAATGGCCATGCCAAGAGCTTATTTCTGCTTTGATTGGCTGTGTGGGATGCACAGGTACCATCCCTATTATCCCCACAACCCCTAATTGACTCCAAACCTTCCAGCCCATTAAAGCTCCGCTTTCTTCTTGCTTCCCACAGCACGCAGGCTTACCTATCACCTTGACCCTCAGGATCTCGCTGTGCAAATCAGGGTGGGAATGGCAATTACTCGCCATGCACTGGTACTCCACATCTTTGAGGGGCTTATCTGTGAATGCTGCCGGGTCATTGGACTTCATCTTGAGCTCCAGGAAGACATTTGTGGCTTTTATAAGGTGGTAAGTGACAGGTGTAGTTCCATTTATTGACTGGCAGCTGATGGTTATGGCATGTCCTTTTATGACCTCAGCCTTGGCATCATGAAATATCCTAGGCTTAGACAGCATTTCTAGGACAAACGAGAAAAACAATCCAAATAAAACAGCAACCCAGACCAGGACTTTCCTTTCGCAGATTCTGGGCTTGGCTTTCTCCATGGAGATCATGATTTCAAATTCCTACCTGTCTGCCTGATTTACCTTTAAGGGGGACCTGTAAGGTTACCAGGCAATGCCTGTCTATGGGTGTGCATTCAGAAACAAGGGAGAAAATGAACTCTTGTCGATGGGGATGTAGCCCAGTGGTAGAGCATTTGCCGAGCATGTGTAAGGTCTCAAGTTCGATTCCCAGCACTAGGGTAAGTGGCGGCAAGAAGAGCTTTGTGAGGCCAGCCAGGGCTACACAGTGAGACCTTGTGTCAAAATATCGAACACAATTTTAAAATAACCTAATTTCTGTTAGCAAAATAATGATATAATAGCTAGGTATGATGGAATAGACCTGCAATTCCACACCTGGGAGGGCAGGCAGGGAGAGCGCAAGTTCGAGGCTAGCCTGGGCTACATAGTAAACCCTGTCCTGTCTCAAAGGAGAAGGGGAAGAAGGAGGAGTGTGGAGAATGAGGAGGAAGGGAGAAGAGGGAGTAATAAGGGAACGGGGTGGAAGAAGCAGGTTTGGTGGCACCTGCCTGCCTGTAGGTCCACTGGCCAGGTGTGGTGGCTTATGCATGATGTGGGTGCTCTACAAGGACAGCAAGTGCCCATAAACACTGAATAATCTCTCCGGGCCCCTTGTGTGTTTGTTTTTTTTTTTTTTACACAAAAGTCTTGCCCTATAAACCAAGGTTGTATATTGGGTTTACAGCAATTTTCCTGTCTTACTGCTGGGATTAATGGAATGTACCACCATACCTAGAGTCTCCCCCCCCCCACTTCCAAAGACAGGGTTTCTCTGTGTAGCCCTGGCTGTCCTGGACTCACTCTGTAGACCAGGATGGCCTTGAACTCAGAGATCCGCCTGCCTCTGCCTCCCGAGTGCTAGGATCCAAGGCCTGTACCACCACTGCTCATTTCCTTTTTAAACACAAGGTCTTTTATGTTGGGAGTCAGGGAGGATTGAGACAGGTCCTTGCTATGTAGTTCAGGCTGGCCTTGAATTCACAACAATCTCAATCTCAACTTCCTGAGTGTCAGCATTATAGTTATGTACCACTAGGCCTCCTAAGCAGGTCTTATACGTACACACAAGCCCGAGCAGTTTGGCTCTACACTGTATTCTCCGGACATCCAGGGTGTGGATGTGTTTCTTCCCTGACCTGAGAGTGGGTGCCCACTTCCAGGGTTAGAGCCCTCCCAATCCCAAGGCCATGGCGGCAGCCGTCACAAAAGCCTTTAATGTGGTTGGCCCATCTCTCTTCTACTCTCCAGTCGGGGATGCACACTCATTTTGTTAGACTCTATTTTCCTTTAAAATGTTTTTATACATTTATTTATGTGTGTGTGTATCTTGCACATGCACATGCATGCGCTCACATACACATACATAATGAATGTGGATATGGAGGTCAGAGGGTAACTCGTAGGAGTTGTTTCTCTGCTGCTACCATGTGGGTCACAGGGACTGAACTCAGGTCATCAGGCTTGGCAGCAAGCACCTTTACCCAATAAGCCATTTTGCTGGTCTTTCCTGGAATTCTCTACTTGCCTGAATCTGGTCAGCCTTTGAGACCACACTGGGGACAGCCATCCTCTCCTTGCTCCTACTCCGAGCACTGTGTATGTGAGGTGCTGGGAACATACTCACCGCACACCTTTATGGGTACCGGGTTGCTCCTCTTGACCACTCTGCCGATGCCTGCAGTACAGCTATACACCCCGCTGTCCCTGTTATCAGCAATCTTGCTGAAATTCTGATCCTGAGACAAGACCATATTTTCCTTCTGGATGGTGAAGTTGGCTACAGGTATGCCCGGGACAGAGCAAAATAGATCCAAAATCTTCCCTTGGTCCAGTTGACGGGAGGAGAATTCCAACGTCGGCTTGGGAAACAGCTCTGAAGAACATTAAGTGGGAAGAGGAGAGATATGGTTACCTCCTCAATCCACTGCCTGGAGATGCTTGTGGTCCAGCTACTTTCAGCAGAATCAACCTCCACCAGCCTGCTCCTCACATACTTGATGGTTATGGTTTTCAAGAGTCAGGGCTCACTCTGAATGTGAGCTCTTATTGTAGGTTCTTCTTGCATTTCAGTCTACCAGGATTCACTCATCCATCTGTTCATCCATTTATTGAGACAGGGTCTCAAGTAGCCTAGGTTGGCCTTGAACTAATTAAGTAGCCAAGGATGACCTTGAACACCTGATCCTCCTAGCTCTGCCTCTCAGGTGTTGGGAATACAGATGTGCACTACCATGCCTGGCTTCCTCAAGTGTTGACCGTAAGGAAGACCCTTGGCTGGACATTGGGAAGATAACAGTGCCCACAACACAGTCCAACTTCAAAGAACTCCTCCCTAATGCTCAATTCAGGAATAGTGTTAGCAGTAGAGCGAGGCCACAGAGAGGAAACTGAACTTCACCATGGGAGAATTAAGGGACCAGTTCTGGAAGGAAGTTTTCCTAGGTGGCTGACTAGAGAAAAAGTATACTAGATAGCATTTGGAAGTTCATTATGGCTGGAAGAAACTGCCATAGCTGGCCTGTTTGTATCTGAAGTTCTCAAAGGCAAAGCTTTCTTTCTTTCTTTCTTTCTTTCTTTCTTTCTTTCTTTCTTTCTTTCTTTCTTTTCTATTTTAAAGATTATTTACTTATCTATTTGACATGCACTGGTGTTTTTCCTGTATATACTATTTGTGAAGGTGTCAGATCCCCTGGAACTGGAGTTACAGACAGTTGTGAGTTGTCATGTGGGTTCTGGGAACTGAACCTGGGTCCTCTGGAAGGGCAGCCAGTGCTCTTGCTCTTAACCCCCTGAGCCATTTCTCTACCCTAGCTCTCCATTCTTAATAACCAGCCCAGCACACAGAATGTGTCCAGTATATATAATGAACTGATAGTTTTTCCTCTCTAGAAAAGGATGTATACCTTATCAAAAGCACTCCAAACATCTGTTATTATCAATAATCTATGCATGCTAGGAGTAATGCAGTGTGCCTTTGATGCCAGCACTCAGGGGCAGAGGAAGGCAGACCTTTGTGTGTTCTAGGCCAGGCTGGTCTACATAGGGAATTCCAGGGCTACGTGATGGGAATGTCTTATAACTAAATAAATAGCTCACTAAGTTGCTAGCACATGACACCACACCCTACAACAAGAGGATCCACTATAATGTGGTAATCCCTCAATTGGCCAGTTGACAGCCTGCCTACCTGTAAGACCTGGGGGACAGTGGCTGTGACTTATGCTCAGAGCTTAACACTTAGGGGTCTAGAGGAAGTTACTGAATGAATGGGTGAACTCCTGTATAAATGAATGGAGAACCTAGAAGAGGTGACCTTGTCCTTGAAACCACTCTAACCCAAGGCTCAGCCTGGCCCTCCACCTAATGACAGTGCTAGATTCCTTCCTCTCTGGCTGGGAGTTAAGGATATAGCACTGAACATAAGAGTGAAGGCCTCTGCCCTCAGCAGCTAACATTCTTGGCTGAATACACACAGCAAACAAGATTAAGTACAAGATAGTTTTTTGTTGTTTTTTTTTGTTTTGTTTTGTTTTGTTTTGTTTTTTCAAGACCGGTTTCTCTGTAGCTTTGGAGGGTGTCCTCTTGTAGACTAGGCTGGTCTCGAACTCACAGAGATCTGCCTGCCTCTGCCTCCTGAGTGCTGGAATTAAAGGTGTGCACCACTATGTCCACTAAAAAATCTTTTAGAAAAAGGGTTTGGGCTGGAATGTGAGCTCAACATTTAAGAGCACTGGCTACTCTTGAGGAGGATCCAGGTTTGATTCCCAGCACCCAAATGGTGACTCACAACTCCAGTCCTAGGGCGGTCTGCTCCCTCTTCTGCCTTCACGGGCACCAAGCTTACGAGTGAAGTGCAGACCTACATGTAGGCAAAACATCCATACACAAAATAAAAGAAAAAATTTAAAAAGCCCATGAAGATGAGTTTGGCAGAGAAGAAAGATATAAACCTATAGAGATATTAGCTAACACTCATTAAATGCAGACCTAGCTGTCTTATTTAAACATTGTGACAGTCCTATAAGATAATTACCATCATATCCCATTGTATCTCACACAGTAGAGGCAGGTTCAAGGGTTTGGCCCAGAAGTATTGGTATTGGGTCAATGCCAGCACATGATCACTCAGCCTCCACAGCCAATTGCTGTATGTTGACTCTCCCACAAGCCCCAACGCCCGGACTAAACACACCCAAGACAATCAGGGGCAGAAAAGGCATCATTGTCCACCTTGGATTACAATACACAGTACTACTAGATAGCCCAGGTTAGCCTTGAGTTCATGATCCTCCTGCCTCAGCCTCCCAAATGCTGGCATTATAGACATGAGGAACTACATCCAGCCACAATTGCCATTTGAGCCCACCACTTGCCAAACTTCTCCCTCAGCAGCCCTACCTGTTATGTTGACCATGATGCTGCTGACCTTGGAGATTCGGCTAGATTCCACTTTGCAGGTATAATGGCCACTATTCTCCACCATGGCCATGACTGAGTAGACAGCCTCATTGTTCTGTTTGGAAGTAGCCACAATAGCCTTGTCCTTTTGGATTATAATTTCTGGAAATTCCCGGACCAAGTGTGTCACTTGAACTGTGCACTTAATGTAGAGCTGTTCTCCTTCTGTGATCATTCCAGGAGGCTGGATTTGAAACTTGGGAGTAGAGAAGGACTCTACAAGAAAGTAGACAATAAGCCAATTGGACTCAGGTTCAAACCTGGGTACTTCCTACTCTGATATTTGTGTGGGAGGAGCTGTGTGTGTGTGTGTGTGTGTGTGTGAACTACATGCATACTTGCTGTCTATGAACCCCAGAAGAGGGCATCACATGCCTGGAACTGGTTGTGAGCTGTCGAGTGAATGCTAGGGATCCAACCCAGGTCCTCTGGAAGAGCAGTGTGCATAACCACTGAGCCTCTCTCCAGCCCTGGTTGCCTTTTTTTTTTTTTTGAGTCAGGATCTCTAATTGGCTTGGGGCTCAATAACTAGGTGTAGGCTGAGTAACCATGGAGTCTCGGGAATCTGTCTGTCTCTGGCTCCCTGGGGCTGCGATACAAGTGTGCACCACTATACCCAGCTTAACCTACGCTTGCCGACCAAGCTATCTCCCTAGTCCTTTTGGCTCTTTTGGCTCCTCTCTTCTCACTAGCCCCTCCGTGGATGGATTCAGGTTCTCCTAAATGCTAATCAAATGTCCCAGCACTTAGCCATATCTCTGTTCTCTCTTTCATTTTTATTTGGAGACAGGGTCTCACTAAGTTGCCCAGACTGGCCTTGAACTTGTTCTATAGCTGAACTTTCTATAGCATTGAACTTTTAATCCTCCCACCTCACTCTCCTGAGTGCGTGGAAATTCTAGTTCTGTACTGTCACACCCAGCTTCCATTCCTCTTTCTCTAGCTTATTTCTTTTTAATTAATTCTATTTATTTATTTGGCTTTGGGGAGAAAGAGTCTCACAGCCCAGGGGCTAGTCTTGAACTCCTGATCCTCCTGCCTTTGCCTTACCAGGGCTGGGATTACAGTCTGTGTACAGGTTTTAAGTTCTGAGAGCAGCCACCCCAAAAGAAGGCTCAGCTTTTCTGATTCTGGGGTCCTTTTCACTACATGTAACCCTGTCGGCACAGGGTGTAAGGAGAAGCCGGGTGGTGGTAGCGGTTGCCTTTAGTCCCAGCACTCGGGAGGCAGAGGCAGGTGGATGTCTGTAAGTTAGGGGCCAGCCTGGTCTACAGAGCGAGTTCCAGGGCAGCCTCCAAAGTCACACAAAGAAACCCTGTCTTGAAAAAGCAAACCAAACAAAAGAAAAGAGTGTGAGGAGAGCAGGATTCTGACCCTGCACGGTAACGTATTCACTCCGGATGGATTCAGACGTCTGCATTTCGATCCCGGACATGATCCCAGCTAGACAGCGAAACACTAGCACATGGTCCTGCTCCTCGATGAGGAAATCTATTTGCACAAAATTCTGGGTCGAAGTCTTCTGTCTAGTTTGCTTCACGACTTTTGTATCCAGTTCTACTTTTTCAATCGTAAAATATATCGGTGGCTGTTCTTCCTTCACAGAACAAGTGACTGTCACAACTCCACCTTCTGTCACCTCCTTTTTGTCCAGTGTCACTACGGGGTTGGGAACACCTTTGGGAGGATGAGAAAGTACAGTTAGGATCAGTCCTCACAATGGCCCGGTCTCCCTTGTCTGTCACGGTGGCTGATCAGCCAGGGGCTTTTTATTTCTGAACACTCAGCCCCATGCCCCGGGTAATCACTGGGCATGTGAGTGTCTGGCACTGTACTGGGTACATTAAAAATATAATTAGTAGAGTGGTGTCCGAATGTGGTGCAATTAGATTACAAACTGGTACAGATCAAAAAGAAAAAAGCTGGGCGTGATGACACATACCTTCCATCCCAGCTCTTGGGAAGTAGAGACAGGCAGATTTCTTTGAGTTTAAGGCCAGTCTGGTCTATGAGTTCCAGGACAGCCTACATAGTAAAACCTTGTCTCTAATTTTTTTAAGTCAGTTTATAATATTACTACAGCTAGTGTTTTAAGTGCGTGCGTGCGTGCGTGCGTGTGTGTGTGTGTGTGTGTGTGTGTGTGTGTGTGTGTGTGTGTAGGCCAAAGGCAATGATGAACATCTTCCTCAGTTGCTCTTCACCTTACTTTTTGACATGGATCTCTCATTGAACTTGGATCTCATTGATTCAACTAGGATGTCTGCCTGCCTCACACACCCCAGGATCCTCTTGTCTGTCCACCTCAGGGATCCTCCTGTCTGCCCATCTCCCCCGACCCCCAGGGATCTCCCTGTCTGCACCCCCAGGGATCCTCCTGTCTATGCACCCACACAGCTCTAGAAATAAGGTACATGCCATGCCTGGCTTTTCACATGGGTACTCAGGATTGCACTCAGGTCTTTTGTTTGAGTGGAAAGCATTTTACAGACTGAGTCATCTTCCCAGATAACTGATGGGAGATGCGATTCAGTAAATATATTTCTCATACTGGTTAATGAATAAAGCACTGTTGGCCAATAGGAAAGCAAGATAGGAGGGACTAGGAGACAAGGAGGAGAGAGGAAGTAGGGAGGAGGAGTCAACATAGAGAGTCTGGAGAAAGCAGATCCGCCAGACGCCTCTCCCCGGTAAGATAAGACCACATGGAAATACATAGAAATGGGTTAATAATTAAGACAGAGCTAGCCGGTAAGAAACTAGTACCCGGCCAACAGCATTATATCTAATACAGAGTCTCTGTGTGTTAATTGGGGCTGGTGCGGCGGCGGGACAAGACCAAGCGGCAGGAGGAAAAACCTTTCTCCTTACAGATAACTGTTTATAATCTATTGAATATCTACTATAAGGCATTCACCCAGGATATAGAAACTAAGCCAAATATAATCTCTCTTCAAATTTCATAGCCCCAAAGAGTGGGATAGATGTGTGGGAAACAGTCATGTGTTTCCTACTAACTCAGATACAGCCTGACAAATGCCATTAAGTGATGTCATCCCACGAATAGAGATAATTTACACAGACTAAGGTGGCATAACATCACTAGGCAAAACATCTCACGGGCCTACTATTGTCTGTGTTCTTTGTCATTGACTGGAGCGTTATACATCATTCAGCGTGTACATGGTCCACCAGTGGGCTGGAAACTGTGCACCCCACCTACGGGATGCCTTTAACCAACCATATCCCTGATGGCCTTGTTGCCATCGCTTCACTAATGAGGACTCCAGAGTGTAATGTCTTTATTACATTTTATTTATTATTTGTTAATGTTGTGTGTGGTCCCAAGAGTGCTAGGGTGGAGGTCAGAGGACCCTATGGGACTTTTGGGAATCAGTTTTTCCACCATGTGGTTCAGGGGATTGAACTCAGGTCATTAGGCTTGACAGCAGACCCTCTAAACCACCTCTGTAGCCCCTGGTTCTGGAGTTTGGAATGGCTAATGGACTTGCCCAGACGGTAACCCAGGCAGAGAGACTACACAGTCTAGTATCTTGTTTGTTTGTTTATTGAGACAGGATTTTCTCTATGTGATAGCCCTGTCTTTCTTGGAACTTGCTTTGTAGACCAGCCTGGCTTTGAACTCAGAGATCCACCAGCCTCTGCCTCCTGAGTGCTGGGATTAAAGGTGTGTGCCATTACTCTAGGCTCAAAGTGGCATAGCACAGTGGCTTTCCTGCAAATAGACATTGATGAGGACAGAGGGGCACAAATACTTTTAGCACTGGCACCCTAAGAGAAATCAACTCAGTTGAGCAACTGCTAGAGAAGAAACTCGGTATCTGGGTGTGGGGTGCATGTCTGTGGGAAACCCCAGTGTGCAGAGGAGCACATGTCTGTTACCCCAGTGTGCAGAGAAGCACATGTCTGTTACCCCAGTATGCAGGGGAGCACATGTCTTTACCCCAGTGTGCAGGGGGAGCACCTGTTTGTAATCCCAGTGTGTGTGTGGGGCACATATGTCTGTGACCCCAGTGTGCAGGAGACTGAGGCAGAAGGGTTGTTCCTAGATCTTAGTGAGGCCAGCTGGGCTGTCAGGAGATTGTGCTTCAGAGGACTGGGGAGAAAAAAAACAAGCCTTTGAGTAGAGTCCTGAGGAAAGAAGGGAGTGCGTAGTCTGTGAGATAAGGAGGGGGCCACACGTGGGAACAGAACCCAAAAGGAAGGGAGTGTTTTTAAAGCCTGTGTTTTCAGGTTAGGAGAAAGCCAGGTAGCGAGTGGGAAGGATGATGAGGGATGGACAGATAAACCAGTGTGACTGCTCCTTCTGGGACACTGTTCATGCCTGGCCAGGTATAAACCCCAGGACTCACCTTTCACCAACACCTGGTATTCAGGAGTGGTTTTCTCCTTGTTGTTCAGGATCACCGTGCATTTGTACCTCCCTGAGTGGAAGATCCGAGCCTGGGAAATGAAGAAACTCTCTGTGTGCTCCCTGGAGGAGACGTTGTGCACCAGTATGTCATCCTTATAGAACAGCACCTGGTGCTGAGGCCTGACTTGCGAGGTGGTACTGATATCCACAAGGCACAGCAGGGTCAGGTTGTGCCCGTTCGGTACCTCCCAGGACGGCAGGCTTTCCATGTGGATGCTGTTAAAGGTGAAAGCTAAAGGCAAAGCAGATATTGTTACCATAGAAACAGCATCATCCAGAGGTGGACACACGCGCGCGCGCGCACACACACACACCACATATATATCACAGGTGTACACACTAAGTCTTCCAAAAAAAAAAAAATTCATAGCAGGGCAGTAGTGGCACATGCTTTTAATCTCTGTGAGTTTGATCTACAGATTGAGTGCCAGGAAAGCCAGGGCTACACAAAGAAATCCTGTCTCAAAATAACAAACAATAAAGAATTCATACGTTCTTTTGACAGATGTACAGGAGAGTGGCCAGAAAGCAAGACGCACAATGTGGTATCCAGTAGTTGCTTAATAAACAGTGAATCTCCATTCTAAAGTCAGACATGCCCAGGGATGCTCCACCCTCGCCCAGACCTCATGGGGCCAGCATAGTTCTAGCTGTTCCTTTCTTTCCTCTCCCCCACATTCCTTTCACTCCCTTTTCCTCTCTCTTCCTTATTCCCTCCCCCCGTTTCCCTCTCTCTTCCTTCCTTTCTCTATCGTTCTCTCTATCTCTCTCTTTTCTCACTTAAAATGTTTTCACTAATAACTATTTTCAAGACACTGTGGAAAAAACAGAGCACATTACACAAAACTGAGATACAGAACTGGTCGGATGTGGGGGCTAACATCTGTCAATCCCAGCATTTGGAAGACTGGGGCAGGAGGACGGCTGTGAGTTCAAGGCCAGCCCAGGTCCAGAAGTGAGACTGTCTCAAGTGAGATGGCACCTCAAGTAAAATAAATAAATAAATGAGAGAGAGAGAGAGAGAGAGAGAGAGAGAGAGAGAGAGCAGTAGGACTATAGCAAGTCCAAGGCCAGTCTAGGTTACATAGTTGTGGAGAACCCCAGAGCAAAGTTAGCATCTTAACAGCCATCTTTCCTACTACTCTCTTAGATTCTAACATACTGTAATTTTCCGTTCCCCTATGACTGTTCTCCTGTTAAGCATATGATGCAGCCTGACCCTTCAAAAGTCCCAGCTGCAGGCTTGTCATATAGCACATTATCTTATAGCAGAACACCTGCATCCGGCTTGGAAGGACGTTCTGCCTCCCTCACACCCTCCCTTTGGCCCATTCCCTCATTTCTCCACTACTTAAACCCTGTGGTTATATTCAATAAACGAGACTTGATCAGAACACTGTCTTGTCTCCATCTCTCGAGACTCTTGTCCCCTCATTCTCACTCCCTCCCTCAGGGTCCCCGACCCCGAGGGCCAGGACACATAGTGAGTGTCAGCCAAGCCAAGGAAATTCCAAAATCTCAATAAATAAACAGTTGTATTGAGGGAGTGCCGGGGATGCACCTCAGGGGTGGGGCACCTGCCTAGCATGTGCAATGACCTGGGTTCGATCCTACTACCACAACAAAAATGTGTATTGAGTCTGGAGATATATATAGCTCAGAGACAGTGTCCGTAGGTATGGGTTCAGAAAGCCCATTAGGGAAAAAACAAGCTTTAAAAAAATAGTCATTACCCAAAATAGACACCTACCAGTAAAACCCCTTAAGTGTGGCCAGCTAGTGCTTGCCCTTTAGAGTTCAGAGGTGCCGGCAGATGAGGAAAACTTGAAACCACTTCTCTCTCTCTCTCTCTCTTTTAAGTTGCAGTTTCTGTTTGGTGTGTGTGTGTGTGTGTGTGTGTGTGTGTGTGTGTGTGTGTTTTGTTTTCAAGACAGGGTTTTTCTGTGTAGCAGCTCACTTTGTAGACCAGGCTGGCTTCAAACTCACTGAGATCCATGTGCCTCTGCCTCCTGAGTGCTGGGATTAGAGGTGTGAGCCACCACGCCCAGCCTTAGTTCTCTAGCTCATACAGCTGGGATAACTGAAATTTTGTTCCTCTTGTCTCCACCTCCTAAGTCAGTGGCTCCCAACCTTTCTAATACGTTAATACAGTTCCTCATGTTGTGGTGATCCCAACCATAAAATCATTTTCGTTGCTACTTCATAACTGTAATTTTACTACTTTAAACTGTAGTAAATCCTCATATGCAAGATATCTGATCACCGAAAAACAGTTGTCTGACCCTCAGGGGGGTTGTGACTTACAGGTTGAGAACTACTGTCCTAAATGACGGGACTATGTTCTGTTTACAGAGACATAGATAAAGGCAAAACCCTCTTACACATAAAATAAATAAACCTTAAAAAAGTCTGGAGACAATTTTTTAAAAGACAATTTTAAAGTTGAGCATAGTGGCCGGCTCATACCTGTAACCCTGACTAGGAAACTGAGGCAGGAGGCCCCTTGTGAATTAGAGACATACATGCATACACAAGTCCCTGGTTCTGTCTCTGGCCTGTTTACACAGAGATGGCATGCCTCACACCACATGCAGGTTGATACCTGCAAGCCTGGAAGCTGATCAGGGTAAACCAAAATGTATGTGGCTAAGAGAGATTTGGAGACTAGAGACGGTGTTGGAAGACACAGGAATTGTGGTGGTCTGAGTGAAAATGGCCCCATATGCTCACGGGGAGTGGCACTTTTGGGAGATATGGCCTTATTGGAACAGGTGTGACATTTTTGGAGGATGTGTATCACTGGGGTTGAGTTTTGAGATCTCAGATGCTCCAGCCAGGCCTGGTAGCTTACTCTTTCTTCCTGCTGCCTGTGGATTCAGATGTCGCGTTCCCAGTGACCTCTCCAGTATCGGGTCTGCCTGCGTGTCGCCATACTTGGCCATGCTGGTAATGGACTAAACCTCTGAACTGTAAGCCACCCCCATTACATGCTCTTCTTCATAAGAGTTGCTGTGGTTTACTGAGGGTGGGAGGCAGAGAGGGTTGGAGCTCTGTGAGTTTGAGACCAGCCTGGTCTACAGAGTGAGTTCCAGGACAGCCTCTAAAACTACACAGAGAAACCCTGTCTCCAAAAAACAAAAAACAATAAAAAACAAACAAACAAAAACAAGAGTAGCCATGGTCAGGGTGTCTCCTCATAGTCACAAAACCCTAACTAAGATAAGTACAGAGAGTCATGCCAGCTAAATAGGGTCTTGTGACTTAGACGAAGCCCCCTAAAAGCTCAATTCTTACCAGATTCCCTGGTGAGAGGAAAATATCCACAGATCATGACTACCATGTATATTACATGATAGTCTACATGTCTGTATTGTCACCAGGAAAAAGTCGCCAGGAATCAGCACAGGTGCTATGTCAGACCCATTGAGGGAAGGAATCTGGGCCGAATTCTGTTCCCTCGACAGATTCACACATTAATCCTATCCTCCAGTCTTGTAGAATATGTCTGTGTGTGCACCTCAGACATGTACTGAGGCCATTAAATTCAATTAAAATGAGGCCAGTAGTGTGGGCTCTAATCCACTGGATCTGTGATCCCCCGTGAAGACTTAGGGACTCTGGGGTAGTAGCTCATGCCAGTATATGGTAGCTAAGGCAAGAGGATTGCTTTAAGTTTGAGATCAGTCTGGCTTCATACTGGATCCTAGAAAGAAAAGGCAGAGAGAGGCAGCCATCCAGGACCAAGAGAGACTGCAGAAGCCAGATTTGTCAACACTTTGATTTGGAGTTGCAGAAGCAATACTTTCTTCCCTTCGTTTCACCCAGTCCATGGTGTTTGCTGTGTTAGCCTAAGCAGACAGATGGAGCCACACATGGTGGCACACCCCCATGGACACAGCACTTAGGAGACTGAGGCAAGATTATTGCTGTGAGTTCAAGACACAGCTCAGGTGATAGGATGTTTGCTCAGCATGCGTAAAGCCCTGGTACAATCTCCACCAAGCCCGGTGACCCAAGTTCAATCCTAGAACCCACATGGTGGACAGACCCTGCTCCATCAAGTTAGCTGATCTTCACATGTGTACAGTGGCTTGCTCCTCCCAATTAATTAAAAAAAATTAAAGAAGAAACTAAAACCTGTCTCAACACACACACACACCACCACATACACATAAACACACATACCACACACACACCACACATATACCACATACACATAAACACACACATACACACACACACTCACACACACATATGCACGCACGCACTCACACACACCACATACCACACACACACACACCACATACCACACACACACCACACACACCACACATATACCACATACACATAAACACACAAACACACACACACATGCACTCACACACACATGCATGCACTCACACACACAAGTACACACGCACTTACATACTAGCTTGGCATTATGGTACACATCCTTAAAATGCTTGCACTCAGGAGGCAGAGTCATGTGAGTTGGCCAGCCTGGTCTACATGACAAGCCCCATGCCAAGCCAGTGATAAGAGTAAGACCCTGTCTAAAACTGAAAGACCTTAGATAAATAATCCCCAGATGGACCAACACCCGGCCAAGAACATATTGTGGTTTTTCTTGGAACATATACAACCCTTACCGTAGTTTGACCTTATGCTAATGAAAGAATGCCAATATAGCCAATCATGTTATGCCTAATGTATCTATGCTAACTTGTGGTTATGCCCTATAAAAGGAGCCTTGATACCTTGCTGGCCACAGCAGCCTTCCTTGGAGATGCCTGTTTGCACAAACTCCAGGGGCTAGCCCACCTGAGTAGTTAGACCCCAAACCCAGGGTCTAACAAAACAAACAACCCAATGCCCACCCCCACGAAAACCCAACATTCACAAAATTGTCTTATAGAGAGGCAAAGAATATAGTTCCACTTGCTTGGCATGTGTGAGGCCTGGGTCTGCCTCTAGCTCCAGGAGAAAAACAACAACCACAATAGTGTCTGGGAGCTGGAATCCCAGGGTTGGACAAAGTTCCCCCAGAGAAGCATTGCTGACCCATTTTTAGGCTCACAATCCACCAATGGATTGTGTTTGTTTCCCTTTGGGAGTCTCCAAAATCCTCTAACTTCCAGTGAACTGAGCAGAATGGTACCAGGCTCTTGGGAGACACAGGGAGGAAGATCAGGAGCTCAAGGTCAGTGTGGGCTACTTAGCAAGTCTGAGGCT